TAGGGAACACAACCCTTCGAAAAGCTGAACAAACAGAAAACAATGTAGTTTTGCAAGAGTACTATATACTATATTCAAGATTCGTGTATACTATTAACTATGCTCTTAATCTTTATCACTGTGACATCTTATCTTATATACTCTAATTCACAATAATATACTATTAACATGAATATAGTAACTACTAAAAAAAATGTCTTAACCGCTGTGATTTCTTTAAAGAGAATATTATGAATATTCAACACATCTCAACACTAGTATCACAAAATTAAATTTTGCAACTTTTTGACTGTGGAATAAACTTTAGTGCAAGTCTCAAGGAATTGATGTTAATCCTCAAGTTGATGCTCTAAAGATGAAATTGATCGATCCCACTCCCACATCATAATTTGTAGCATCATTAGTTGTTCCATACTGATAATGACCAATTTGAAATGAAAATGACTGGGTCGACAAAAATTGTGGCTGATAAAGATACGATGGGAATAAGAAATTTGGAGAGAGAAAGAGGGGTGGCTATGTGTTAGCTAGCTTTGCCTTTCTAGATCCATAACCTAACAAGATCTATTTGTTTAAAATTTAATTTATTTAATACAAGGAACCATGCAAAATTTGTCAGAAAATTCAGCTTTTTTTAAGGTCAATAGTTACAATGATAGTGAAATGAAGGGCGATGAAAAGAGCTTTGAATTAAATAGAGATAATTTATTAAAAAGAATTAAGGGAAAAGCTTTTAGCCATGCTTGTTAGAATTTAATCAATGGATCAATCATGTCGCTGTAAAATGTAGAAAGCCGAGAACTAGAAGAGTCTAACAGCCATGATGTTAGTTAAATAATAGAATTTAAGCTTCTTCTCTCCCTCTCTCACTCACACACTCTCTTTCTCTATCTGTGTATACAAATGATACTCTCTTTTTGTGGTTGCTTTTTTTGTTCCCTTTTTTGTGTTTACTTTACACAAGAGAAGGGAAAGGCAAGCAAGAAGGGTGTATTTGAAAAAAAGTTTTTTTAGCCAAAAACTTTTTAACTTTTTTTTTTTTTTTGAAGCAAAGAAAAACACAAAATAGAGAGAGAGAAGTGATAATTTTCTGGGGTTGAGAAAGAGAACAGAAGAAAAGACAGAAAGCTCAACGTCAGAGTTAGCCGTAAGGTTACCCTTATGTTTGTGGTTTTGGACTAGCTGAGGTACACTCAGAAGAGAATCCTCTTCTCATCCACACTTCTCTCTCTCTTTCTGATAATGAGTTTAAACTTTAAACAACAGGGTCTATATTTTTGTTCATATTTGTGTGGCTATCCTTGGATTTTCCTTGGTAATATTATCATATTATCAAGCATGGTTTTCAAACCATGAAGGAGAAAAATACGGATTGCGGCTACACCAACACCACCATCTGCTTCCACCTTCACTTCTCATCACTCCCTCTTACTTGTTTCTTCTGCTCTTTCATAAAAGCAAAACTTGTCTCTTGGCTCAGTGCCAAACTAGTTACAAGTTTTCTAGTGGTCATATAGAGAGACCATAACTATATCTTCTCAACTTTCTTTCTCTTTTGTTTATTTCTTTGCTTGAGAGAGTCTTGTAACTTATTCCTGAGTTGAATATCAGTTAATATATTTTGCCTCTTAATTTGTTGTGTCTTGTTCTTTCTCTTTCCAGTCTAACCTTTGTAGACTGTAGTCTAGCTTTTCCATTTTTCTTCCCTTTCTATTTTGGGTAAGGTTTGTGTCCTTAGATCCCAGAAACCTTTCCCAACATTTGAAAAACCAAGATCTATGGCCTATAACACAGCCTTAGGTTTCTAAAACTTGCAAGTAAATGGAGATGAAAGGTTTTATGCTTAACCAGCAACAGCAGCAACAAGTAGTGGAGGAGAACATGTCAAATTTGACTTCTGCATCTGGTGAAGCTAGTGCTTCCTCAGGTAATAGAACTGAACTTGGAACCAGTACTTACCCTCAACAATACTTGGCTCCACCACCAACTCAGACTCAACCAGCAAAGAAAAAGAGAAACCTCCCTGGCAACCCAGGTTTGTTTGTTTGTTATTTACCTGTTAAAAGTCTAAACCTTAATTTGTTTTGTTTTGGTTAATATACATGTCATGTTTTGTGTTTGTCTAATTTATCCGGATTTTAATGTGTCTGTTAATAATTTTTCTTTTTTAATTATTCAGACCCTGATGCTGAGGTTATAGCCTTGTCCCCCAAGAGTCTTCTTGCCACAAACAGGTTCATTTGTGAGATCTGCAACAAAGGATTTCAAAGAGATCAGAACCTTCAACTGCATAGAAGAGGCCATAATTTGCCATGGAAGCTGAAGCAGAGAACAAGCAAAGAGGTGAGGAAGAAGGTGTATGTGTGTCCAGAACCAACCTGTGTGCACCATGACCCATCAAGGGCCCTGGGGGACCTAACTGGGATCAAGAAGCACTTCTGCAGAAAGCACGGTGAGAAGAAGTGGAAATGTGACAAGTGCTCCAAGAAGTATGCAGTTCAATCAGATTGGAAAGCTCACTCCAAAACCTGTGGCACTAGGGAGTACAGATGTGACTGTGGAACCCTCTTCTCAAGGTAACTAACCCAAATCAATGTCATGTGAAGAATTATAAGTCCAGTTTAGTTATCAAGGCATCATAGTCAAGACACGTTCATTTATGGAGGATGAATTTGAATCCTAGGTTGACTAGATGAATTCACATAGTAATTTTTTATATATTTTTTCACATATCCTTATCCCTTCTTACATGGTATACACTGAAGAGACATTAAATTCAATACATTGATATAGCAGTCTCTCATGATCCCTCCCTAGAGAGAGTGGAAATTCCTAGTATGGAAAATATTTTTAATGGACCAAGTCTAAGACTATCTACATGTCTTTTAGAGTTTTAAAAAATGTTGAAAAGTAAGAGAGAGAGAGAGAGTAAGAAAGTCAATAATGCTAGACTGTTGCCAAGAGATAAAAGTTAAGTAACATTTGTTGGTTTTGTAATTTTGTTTGTTTATGAGTTGCAGGAGGGACAGTTTTATAACCCACAGAGCTTTCTGTGATGCATTAGCAGAGGAGAGTGCAAGAGCCATGGGTGCAGGCACAGGCAACAACACACTTCTTCCCCCACAGCCACAACCTTCAACCTCTCATCACATAACCCAATTCAACCCCCAAGATCACATGCATGCCTTCCCATTGAAAAAAGAGCAACAAGGTTTCAATGTTAGGCCAGAAATCCTACCCCCTTGGCTTGGTCCACCAATAACAGTAGATCATGATCATGATCATCTCTCATCCTCATCCATAATGTTCTCTCCTTCTCCACACCAAGAAAACCCTAACCCTAGCCTTGGTCCCACTCTTGCTGGGTACCAAACAGTCCCACACATGTCAGCCACAGCATTGCTGCAGAAAGCAGCTGAGATGGGTGCAACCATGACAAGGCCCCACCATCATGCTCACGTGTCTTCTTCTGCTGCTAATAACTTTGGCTTCAACTTGTCCTCACGTGAAGATACCACCACCACCACCACCACCACAACCTCAACAACAACCACTGCAACACTGTTTAACCATGGATTATTATCATCACATAAAGCTGCTGCTGCTGCTGCTTTGTCTTCTGCTCCATCCCTTCTTCATGATGTCATCAACTCTTTCTCTTCTCCTTCTGCCTTTGAAGGAACCCCTTTTGAGGATGTTGCCTTTGGTGGCATTAAGAAAGATGCTGATGCCGATGATGATGATAACAACAACTTGTATTTGCATGACACATTCTCCAAAACAAGTGGTGCTGGAAATGAAGGGTTGACCAGAGATTTCTTGGGTCTCAGGCCTCTCTCTCATTCTGATATTCTCACCATTGCTGGCATTGGAAACTGCATCCATGATCAGCAAAACCAATCTCAAAAGCCATGGCAAGGTTAGCTATAGCTACCTAGCTCCATATATATATATATATATGGATTTTCATTTTCTTTTAATCCACTATATAATTTTTTTTTAAGTTTAACTTTCGTTTATGATCCTTTCGATCTTCCCAAAGGGAAGGACCATTCTGAATCGATCCCAATGTTTTCATTCCTTATGTACTTATTTACGAATCGCAATATTGTGTTCATATATAAGTGAATTATATAACAAGACTAGATGGTAAACGAATATTATAGTTATAATTATAGTAATATATTATATCAATACAAAATATTAGTAGCATCTGATTGTAATATGTGAACTTCAAAATCAAACGACATAAGTCCATCAATTACTTTTTTGTTAATCAAACCGTTGCACTAGAAAAATTGATTACATGGTGATTGGTGTGACTGACTGTTATTTTTATTACTATCAGAAAAAAAAAAGACAGTATAATATAAATAAAGAATTAAAAAAATTATTTTAAAAATATTTATTTTAAGTAATCGATTCTTATTTATTAAACTCAAATCTTTATCTTACACAAAAGTGTTTTTAGACATTTTTCTTTGATATGAGAGATTTTAGAATTTTTTAACTTTATATTTAATTCAATTTTTATTTACATAATTATTTATAAACTAAATTTTAATATTTTAAAAAAATTATTAATAAAAATATTATATTACATATAATAAATATTTAATCTATATATTACATACGTGGGACAATAATATCTAATTTTGACGTCCTTTCACAATTGTTATATAACTATTATTTTTAAATCATCTAATTTTTGGGATGTAGAAAATACAGTTTTTATTATTATATACAATGGAATTCACAGTTGAATTTATTAAAATACATTTAATCATAAATTATCATGTATAAAATGGTTTCTAACTGATTAAAAGTACAAAGTGATTTACACAGATAACGTATTAAAGTTAAACTCTTTATATATTAATTATGTTTCGGAAATATTTAGCTGTTTGTAATTTTTAACATTAGTTGGAAGTTGAGATATATTTGTTTTGACTTTTGATAGATATACGGTGAGTCCTTAGTACTCCATTCTTTAATATATTTTTTTTGGTGTTGAAATATTGTAAATTAATTTAAATGAATAAATACTGGTCTTTTTTAAAATAAGCAAATTTTTATTTTGATTTCTATGATTTTTTTTATCTTTGAAAAAATTAAAAACATTGTTTGTTTAAACTAAATCATTCATTTTAAGACATAAAAATAACATATTTTTTCAGTTGTTTTATTTTTCAAACGTATAAAAAAAATTTTAAATTTCTTTTTTTTTCTGGAGTCACGTGTAACAACGAATCACTTAATTTTTTTTTAAACACGTAACTATAATCAATCAATGTTATGTAGTGGTAAGGAACAAGAAAAAAAGTATTTTGAGATTTTAGAGGGGCCGATGAAGAACTCTAAATAACTTTTTTACAAGAATCAAAATTATTAACTCAATTACTGTAAAAAAAATTATTAATTCAATAAATAATCTAATGAAATTTTGAAATAATATGGAACTTCTGCAAGATGTAAAATACTATCAATATCATTATAGAAATCAATGAAGTTCATTTAAAAATATATTTTGAGAAGATAAAAATTTTACATTTTTTTTGGTGAATCATAAGTTTTACATTTAATAATTACAAAAAAAAAAAACTTAAAAGTGACTCAGTTTTAGTAACTAAAAGTTATTTCGTAAAATCTAATGGATGATTTATGAATTCAAGATATTAAGAAAAAAAGAACTTGTTGAAATGGATATTAGATAAGTGAGGAATTAAAATATGGATTGAAGAATTACTTAGTGGCAAAATAACCAAAATACTAATTTGCGAAAGAATAAATTTAGTTATCAATGTCATAATTTTTTCCATTTAAGATTTACGTAATATAAATGAATTTCAAAGTTAATTACTATCGAAATATATATTGAAAATTGTCAGAGGTTTTGATATTCTGTTCAACATTAAAATACACCTATTTCAAAAAATTGAAAGAAAAATTGTTATTTGAAATCGCTAAAATATTTACGTGGTGTACATGTGATTATATCGTTTTATTCAGAAGTTTATAATCTCATTTTTTGTTTAATTTCTAATGCCTAATAAAAATTGCTGGCATACGATTCCAGTTAAAAAGGAGTTTTAATTTCTGAAGCTCAATAATTAAGCCAAAAAAGAAAAAGAAGAGTTTCATGATTAAACCAATTACCAAGAGAGTGCTTCGTTTAAGTAACTTTTTGTGTATCCATTGACTTCTTATTATGATGTTACTGTTAATCCGTTCAAGTGGTTCTACTTTATCAAATTTGCATAACCTTTTCACGATCGATTAGTGATTTGTCATTAATTTTGGTAATTATGAAATGGAATGTTGCCACATTATTACTTTGAATTTTCTTATTCTCAAAAAAAATTCTTTCATCATATTCATAGAGATCTTTTTTAGGCAGTACGATAGGAACCAATTTTTTTTATTTATTAATTTCTTAATTTATCAACTTGGGCTGAATTTAATATGCCAAAATAAATGTCTTCTCATTTAACTAATTAATCTTAAGTTAAAATATTTTTTTTAATCTTTATTATTTTACTTTAATTTTTAGTTTCTATAATTTAAAATAAATCTTTTTAATTTTTATATTTATTATTTTTTAATTTTTTTAGTTCTTATAATTTAAGATAAATATTTCTAATTTCTATACTTATAATTTTTTTTATTTCCTTTAGTTCTTATCCTTAATTTGTTGTCTCATTGTCTTTTTTTATTATCATAATAAAAATCTTAATTCAATTTTGTGTGTTATTAAATTTATTTTTTTAGAGTTGATTTAAATTAGATCTTTTAACAATTTATGTCTCCTTTATATTATCATTTGTTAACACTCATTATTGAAACATTTTTATTTTATTTTTACAAAATTAAAGATTCTTATCACATCAATACAAAACAAACAACAAACAAAGATTGATCATAAAAAATTAAAATGATTAAAAACTATAAATATAAAAATAAAAAAAAAAATTTAAATTATAGAACTAAAAAAATACGTATATAAATTAAAAATATTTATTTTAAACCACAAAAACTAAATAGAAAAGTAAGTAAAAGTATAATTGAAAAAAAATATTTTAATGTTAATCTTATTCAACTAACTAATTGGATACGTAATTTGAGAAGTTGGGAGGAATAACCAAATAGAAGATAAAAACAAAAGCATACGACAAAACCTAACCTGGCCACGACACATGTTCACAGCAACATGCGTGTTCTCCTAGAATAATGTTTGAGGATTTAGGTCCTTTAAAATCAATAATTCATTTGAGAAAAAAGTAAAATATTATAATTATTGATAAAAATAAAACAGTAATTTTAAATATGAGATAATTAATTATATATACACTTGTTTTTATTTTATTTTAATTAATATATAACTGTTTAACTAAAAGTTATAATTAATATGTAATACTAGTACAAAATATTTTTACATTATGAACCAGTGAATTACTAGTATTGGATAAGAATATTAAAAAAAAATGTGTTGTGGGTATAAAGTTTGTCACAAACAATGGATATACCATGGGAAGGGTATGGTGCATTAAAAAGCATTGGATTCTTTGCTATGGAAAGGATTGGTAAATGTCATAGAAATGCATCAAAGCATGTTCCCCTTGTTTAAATATATGTTGTCGTGATTTTCTAGAAATTAAAATAAAAAAATAATTAAAAAAAGAAGATGCCCTTTGATACCTGATGTGCCTACAAATGGTATTCAATCCCGAGGGACGAACCTTTTCATCAACTTTTGTCTCTCTGAAATTTACTAATATATTTTCACTTACTTTTTATATCTATTACTTTCTTTTTTCATAACAAATATATTAGTGTTCAATATGTATATATATATAATCGATTGATATTAATTGTTAAATTTTGTAAAACAACGCATTTTAATAACTTTTAACAAAAAAAAGTTATTCATCTAATTAATTAAATTATGTAATATATGTTATTTTGATAACCATGTATATAAAATTTTACATAATTTAAACATTTATAAAACATGTAATCAAATAGGAGATATTTACTTGTGTTCTTAATCAAATTGTAGACATTTACTTATATTTGAGTTGAGTAAAATTATTATAGATAGATTTTTTGAAAAAAATATTTTATATAATTATATATTTAGAACTCAAACTATTGGTTAAATTAGAACAATTGCATATGAAGGAAGAAGCTAAAAGTTGATTAATTAATATTGATAAGAAACTCAAAGTGTTATGAAGGATTAGAATATATAAGGGATGTATTAATGGAGGTAAAATAGCATAATAATAATTGTTAGAGTAATATGGGAAATGTGACACAGATGGTGAACCCTACCCTATATTATTTTGTTTGGTATATGGCATTGTTAGGTGAATGCAGTAGATATATATACGTATAATAAGGAAACTTTGAAAGTGGCGTTGGCACATCTAATTTCATTGGTTTGTAAAGGCAAAACATATGTGCAGCAAAAGATTCCTCTGAATCCCGATGCAATCTATACATGAAAAAGGAAAGAGTCAAGTAAGAGTATGTTATCTTTTACCTAAATATCTCTATATGTTTTTTACAAGGGAGAGATGAAAAAGCTAGAGTGTAGCAGAAGGTGAATAATATAATAAGTAGATACAAAATGTTGTAAATAAAAATTAATTTTCATGCAAATAATTATTCCTACACTGTGATAAATTGCATACTATAATTGCATTCTAATTATAAAAAAAAAAAAACATGTTTTGTTTTACTTTTGTTTCTGTAGTGAAAATAATAGAAAATGAAAACACATGAATAAAAGTGCATTAAGTAACCTTAAACTTGTGAACAGAGTCACAACATAAACTGTTATCAATATCTCTGCGCATTGAAGACACAAGAACATGAAGGCAGCGATGTTTGAATTGGTATGAAAGAAACTGTCTGTACGCTACGCATGTTGAGTCAATTTGGAAAAATTGTTTGGACAGAATGGTTTGAAAATTTGATTGCATTGGTTTTGTGTGGTGCATGCTCAATTTTTTCAGAGTGATTGTTCTGTCCTTGTCAGCCATTGTCTTGTTGAAATCAACGAATTATTGGTGAATTTACCATTACCCCCTCTCTCGTTAGCAATGGAAATTGAGTTTTCGGAGACACCACTCAGTTAGTTTTCCAAATCAAACATCTTAAAACGTACGTTTTCCAACCAAAAGAAACCCTATAGGACTTATTAAGGGAAAAGAAAAATATGAATAACGTTTCACGTAGAAAAATATGAATAACGTTTCACGTAGAAAAATGATATGCAAAGCATTGAAGACATGCAACTTATTATCAAATGTTTGATTTGCACGAGATCCTTAGAAAGTAGATTTGAATTTAATTAGATCAATTCTATAAAACTAATTTATAAGTTGAAATTATCTTTCTTTCAATGGCTTTTGAATAGACTTCAATATCATGTAAATTTATTGAAAAATTAAGTAAAAGAACAGTATATTCTCGTACAATTATTTTTACATTAATATGATACGTTTACTTGAAACTAAAATTCTTATAAATTTACTTTTAATCATTACTTAATTTTTTTTTTTTACCAATGGAATCATTTATATGCTTATAAATTCATGCTTAATCTCTTATTTTTTTAATGATGTGAGATTTTTATTATATTCCAACAAGTAACATGCATAATTGAAGGTCCTTAGACTTTGTAGTGTTTGGTGAAAAAGACTTTCATACTTGAGGATGGTTGGATTTTTATCCTATTAGAGGGTGTTTGGTATTTGGTGTTTTTTTTATAGCATAACATGAAAAAGGGGGTAGGGAGGGTTGTATAATTTATTTATTAAGTTGCAATTAACAACGTTGAAGCTAAGTAGTTGTTTGTTAGATATATATGCAAGTAGTGAGAATTGTTTGATAGAAAGGAAGGTAGAAAGATACATAAAGAAGAAAAAAGGGAAGGGTGGTAGGGTAGCATTAGCAAGCACGAAGAGCAAAAAGCACAAGCCCCCATGGCCATGGCCATGGCCATAAGATATATATATTCCTCTTCTCTACCGTTACTGTTTGTATCGGTTGTAGAAGTGCTTTTTGTCTGGCACAGTCTCAATTAGAAGCACAAGGCAAAATCAACAAACAATATGTAGTGCTACCTCTAAAAGCTGTGAGAGCTGCCAGAATGATTGAAGGGCTTTTCTTGGTTTTTTAATAATGCCCTTACAGTCCTAGCTAGTTGACTTGTCATTGTATAAAATACTAAAAGGATGCTTTCCCTCCCTCTCTCCTTTGTCCTAAAACAATGCTAACTTTTCTGCATGTTTGACTAATAATCCCTCATTTCTTTCTTCTCTCGTCTATATATACATCTTCACGCTTTCTCTCTCCCAATCCATTATTACTTCATTTCCAAGGTCTTCATCCATAAAGTCATACATCTTCCTTTAATTCAAATGTCGTTTACTTCCTTTTCTTTTTCCTAGAGAATTATGCAATATAGCGGGTTCTAGTATTTTGTAATTAGAGAATGGATGCTAAGAATGGTTCTAGAAAATGGACTTCCTCTTAGAGGCATTCCAAGAGTACCTGTGTAACTTCCTTGATGCATGTATCTAGAACTTTCTTCTAGCTATTGTCATGATTCTCATATATGTGTGTATATACATATATCCACCTTTATAATGCTTATGTATATTCCTTTTTCGTAGGCGTTATTTAAGAGGATGACTTGAGATCTTAGGCCAAACTTGATTAGAGATTACTACGGGGTATACATATCAAACAAAGAAGGTCGAAACAAATTTTAATTTTATCAGTTTATTTGATATTTTCTAATTCCATTAATTACTATAAATAACATCGCTTTATAATTTCAAGAACTACAATGATAGTTTATATATATATATATATAAAGGTTGGAAATGGGAAGAAAATCGTGGGCCATCCGATGCTCCATCATGTTATGAAGTCTCCTCCGTTGTTTTTTTGTCCAAGAATTATGGATCCTGGTAGAATAATTCTCTAACAATAAGCCCAAACGTTTTCTTCTCCACCATGTTATGATGAGATAAATATCTGGTGGAACCACTAATATACATGTGACATCTGATCCGAGAAAAGGGGAGACATTGCAACGAGCACAAATGAAGAATAACAGAATCATAGAGGCCATTGCATTTTTGGGACTGAAGATGGGTATTTGAATAGGAGAAAATAAAAAGGGGTGGCAAATACTATACTGTCATGAATTCCCCTCTGCACTTTGTCTCTATCTCTTCTGAATGTTCTTGTTTTACTTTCCTATGAGGTCATGTACTTATTTTGGTATTAATGAACCTTTCCCTATGGTATTGTTTCCAGCTATTTAGAGTGCAATTTCTACAACAGTACAAATTGCTGTCATATACATTTTTTTTTTACACACTTCTATATTCTGTTGTTATTGAAATATTGCATAATATATTCCATAACATTAATTGGCAAAAAAAAATGATTTGTCTCTTAATCAAATTATCCAAGATTTGAGATTAATTACATCTTTCAATGAATACTTCATAGTGGTTATCCAAGTACGTTCTCCACTCCAACCACCCCTTCCCCTCGCCCAAAAGAGAAGAATAAAAAAGTTGAGCCCATGAAACCGATGCTAAAATACTTGAATTTATCATGCTTAAAAGGCTTGCAACTTGCAAGACGTTTTAATTGTTACGTCGAAGCTCATATCACTCCCACTAATAGAAGATAGACCCAAGTCGTTTAATAAAACTAACGAGTACCCAATAATAATAAATTTTATAAAAAAAAGGTGTCAAAACATGCGTAACATTCCTCTTATTCAGAATTAGATTGATAATTACGCCAAAAAAAGGGAATTAAATTGATAGTGTGAGGACAGATAACTCAGCTGACAGAAAGGAACTGTGCGAATCCACTTCCCGTGCAAAAATTACGACCGAGTGCAAGTATATATGGTTTTTTAAGAAAATACAATCTAATCCAAATTCTTTTCTTAAATGAATCTATTCAGATAAACCTTTCTAGAATCACTTTCAAGAGAGATGAAAAAAGGAAGAAAACTTTCTGATTAACTTCTCTATAAACTTATTTTAACTTATAAAAAAACATTCATTTTTCTTTTCTATTCTTTTTCTTAAAAGAGTTTCTGTATAAGTTTATCTAAACAAGCCCAATGTACTTTCAAAAATAATCTTATCAATAATATTCAAACACGTGAATTACTTTAAAGAAAACTCATTTCTTAGCAAAGATTTACAAAATCTAATTCACATACCACTCGGCTGAGACTTTTTAGCTTTGTCTCAGAAATCCATACATAGCTCCGTCTAAAACTTCAGGAACTCTGTAAATTCAATGTAATCTTATTACAAAGACTTTAAGAGGTTATTACATGTCAAGACTATAATTCGCATATGGCCTCTTTCTTCCACTTAAATGTGGAGATATTCAACTAAGCTACAGAAACTTACCAACACACAATGTCAAACTGGAAGAAATGAAAAGAAAAGATGCAGATAGTTATTTTGCAGACTGTTGAGAAGCATCATTTTGCTCTTGCTTTGACCCCGTCATAGCTGCAGTTGCTGCGGCCGTCATGGCAGCTGCTGCTGCACCCATTTTTGCACCACCTGCAGCTTTCATTGCACCAGCTATTTTAGCAAATGCTGCTATGCCTCCAACAAGAATAGCCCTTAATGCAACTGTTGGTTTTACTGCCATATCTATCTGTAAAAAAGTAAGTCAAAATAATATCACCTTCATAACTTCACAACCAAGTAAGTTCATGAATGTAGCATGCCATATCATGGTTTCCATCAATGTAGCAACATCAACAATCTAAATGCATACCAATAACCAACCAATTGCGAACGTTCATGATTTAATTGATTGACCCCTAGTAGAGATCATGTCAACTAAAACCAATATTTAACCAACAGTTTGTTTGGTATTACAAAGGATTGTAAAACAACAGAACACTAAGATCGGCTAATGGTGGTGGGGGAAGGGAGGAGAAAATTAGGATAATATGTACAAGATCTTATATTCGAACTTTGTTACCGACCGTCATTGTAACGAAAGAAAGAAAAAAGGATTATAAAACAACTCCCAGGGGCAAAAATGATATGCATAGATCACAAGAAAGAAAAATGGTACGCATGAAGCAATATATCAAATCCAAAAAGAGAATTATTGAACTTCACTTTCTTATGGTATGTATTCAAGCCACACATTTTAAATTTGGTTAGATTAAGCTTTTGTGGAATGATCAGAAGAATGGAATGCCCAAACCGAAACTAAAACTCACAGATGACTTATCCCTTACAAAAGTTGATGGTTTCACCACAATACTAAAGGTATCATTATTAAAACCTTCCATCCATTCTGTATTCTGATATTTGGTTTTTGATAGATCTCATGGCACCAATCAATCCATGTATCTGACCCCCTAAAACCCCCTACAGTGGAATAAGGCACGGAACGGATGCTGTTGTATTCAATCCATTATCATCAAAGAGTTCAATTACAAGATTAGTGATAGGAACCAGAAATGAAACTCAGAACAGAACAATACGGAATTTTAGAGATGAAGTTCTGATAAACTTGATAGTATTTATTGGAAACAGACAAGAAAACAGGCAAGATTGCGCTTTCTGTGAAGAAATCAGTCTCACCAAGTCCATAGCCTTCCCACCACTACCCAATTCTCGCCTACCCCTTGTTGACCCCACCTGTCAAATATATAGAAATAATTCCTATCTCCAATCATCAAATGCCACCTGTCATGTTCTGTTATGCCCCCTAACTGTTTCCTTCTATCCACAGGCCGATAACCTGGCATACACTCAACAGTACAAAAACATCAACAATTTGATATCGTAGAATAATGATTGAGAGCTGGGTTAAAACTTAGAACTGAGAACATTGTAGTTGATTCTCTCTGTTCCTTAGACTTGTATTTTGCAGTAGTAGTTGAACTTATGTGGTACAAATATGATTCTTCTACATTGTAATCCTTTCAAACACCAAAACTTTGTTGATCCTGTAATTCGGCCTTCATCTCTAATAAAAATTTCAGAAATAATGCAATTAACCAGAACATGTACACTTAAAAACCACCTAATGAAGAAGATCCAAAGCTACCTGTTGCCATGAAATGATGCCCACCAAGAACTGTAACACAAAGAAAAGGAAACAAAGGCAACATCAAGAGGAAAGTTTAACTCCCCTTAACACCTAATGTGAATTTAGTTTCCTTGAAGCTATCCAATAATAAAATGCTTTACTTTCCTCAAATGCACTCACCCAGATTCAAGCTATTTGTGTTGAAGGTACATCAGAATAGGTTTAAAACAACAAACTACTATGGCCTGCAGTGAGTGTGACTCCTTGGTGGACAATAGATGGTATTTCTGTATTCTTGCACCGAATTTATAAATTCAGTTTCAAATTTTCAATGCACTTTTTTTTATTTCCTTTGCCAATTACAATATTTCCCAGCAGTCATCAGTCTAATAAGCTATAAATCTAAACAAACCCTTATAATATTCCCTACAATGCCAGGGGAGCAGATACTTTTCCCCCCAGTTTTCCAATTTCTTCACCAAGTATTGCAATTAGACTAGTATTTCACAAATCCTTCTCTGTCATTGTCTAATTCAGAAACCCTCTGAAAATGAATAAATGTAGTTTTGGTATCTGCTATAAAAGATACTGAAAATTGCGCACTCCATCAAATGATAAGAGAATTATCCTTCCCTAAATTCATGTCTGGATAAAATTATCCCTTTTATGGCTTTGATTCTAAGCCTAATACAGAAGCCATTCTCAAGAAGAAGAAAAAAATGAGAAAAAAATTGGATGACATGTAGAGTTTACATGTAAACATAAAGAAAAAGTTCCAAATAAAAGAGTGTAAATTGGATAAAAATCAAACCTGGAATTAAAAAGAAAGGGGGTGGACGTGAAAGATGAAAGCTTTAAAATGATATGAGAAAGAGGGAAAGTGAATCTAAACCTCACCGATGATTCTCCCTTAACCTCGGACCTACAAACAAGGAGGCGCTGTTATGTGATTGTTCCAAACGACAACGTCGTTTTTCACTGCAGGCTTAAGGCTTTGCTTCGCTTGTACAAGTCCAACTACAGTTTATGCAAATACAATACATTTACTACCTATTTATTTGGATGTGAAAAAAAAAATATGTAAAATTTTTGTTAAGACAATTTCTTTTATTAATTTATATTTTATTATAAATACTTCGTTACAATTTTTTAATATTTTATTTGGAGGAGTGAGAGGGAAATCGAAAAAAATGAAAGAAAATATGTAATATATATTTAAAAAGAAATAGGGATAAAATATTAGTATAATAGAATAAAACTTGTAGATGTTAGATGGAATAAAATTAGGTGAAAAATAAATAAATTGATGTTTTAAAATTATATTTTATATAATTAGATTTTTATTTAAAAATGTTTTTCTTCAATCATTTTTTTTTTCGTTTTTCTCATTGTTTTTTCCTTTTTTATTTAACCTTCAAGAACCTATCATGACTGATAAGTGATAACATGTCAATGTGAGAGAAAAGAAAATAGATTCACAATCCATTAAATCAAAAAACATGAAAATGTTGTAAATATGAATGAACCAAGGTATAATTTCACACAAATAACCCTTTTAAAGGTAACTGATTTTTACAGTGGAACTCATAAGTAATATATAACTTTTTCAAAAATTAACAATATTAATTGTTAACTTTACATATTTATCGGCTAAAATATTTTTTCTGATATATAATGTTAATGCTTTTCTATCGCCAATTTGTACGAACCATTTGCTAAATTCATGTGCCAGATAATTTACTTTACCTATACTAATGTTGATAATTCTAAACATGTTAATAATTATTTATTAATTCTTTCATATATTTGTAACTAATACTTCCCTTTTGTCTTTAGAATTTTTTTTTGATCTTTTTTACGAGGTATTTTATAGTTTTTATATAATATTAAATTGTTATTATTTTATTTGTCCATATTTTAGATTTTGAAAATATATGTTTTTCTCTTTTACTTCTTAAACTTTTTCTAATTAAAATTTATCATTTTTTTAATACATAAGTCACTTCTCATGAAAGTTTAATAATAAGTAAGAAGTATAAAATTGATAAATTGTGATTTTGTTTTATAAATACAATAAATTTAAGTATTATCTAAGTTCTTAATTATTAGACTCTTTTAATTAAATTATTCCTTTTAAATAATTTAGTTAATTTAGTCAAAAGCATTAAAATTTTCAATAATTTAAATTATTTTTTTAAAATTAACTTTCTTTCTTTCACTTAATCATTTTTTACCTAATTAATTAATGTTTGGTAGAGAGAGATATTTATGTGTCTATTTGTTTTCTCCAATAATAAAATGAGAGAATTTTTATTCAATTAACTTCAAATATTTATTATCTTTTGTTTAAAAGAGTTATTTATTAAATAAGAATATTTTAGAAAGGGTATAACTGATCCAGTTAAAAGTTAGAAAAGAGTCCAATAAAATGGGACAAACAAAAAAGTGAAAAAGGTCTTATATATAGTAATAAAAATAATAACCAAACTATTATTTATGTTGATATATATGATTTGATTAAGAGTGTCTTATAACAATAGTCGTAGAGAGTAGTAATATGTGTACATGAACTATTAAACGCTTCAAATTTAGTCTTTCTATTAATTAACTAAGTTTGATCCATGTATAGTTCAAACGTTAAAAAATAATATTTTTTAATTAAAAATGATTAAAAATTTGGTAAAAATGATTACTTTTAAAATTAAACTACATTAAATACATTTGTATTTTTATTCAAGAATATTATTTTTAAAAAATCTAATAACATTTAAATTTTATTATAACATTTCAAGTCATTCAACCTATTAAGAGTAGTGATGATGTAATATATAGTTTTCAATTTATAGTGATATATAAAAAGCATATATTCACTCTCAACTGCTTTTGATCACTTATTTCAAGTCATTCTTTTACTTTTAGGCACAATTTTTCATCAACAGTTAAATAAAATATACATAAGAAAAAAATAAGAATCAGGCAATAAATGTAAAGTAAATAAATTCATACATTATCATAATTAAATAGGAAAAAAAGAGAAAAACCACTTTTAAAATTCAAAATATAATATTTTAACTCTCAAATAAAATTTTAATAGAATTGAATTTAAATTTTCTACTTATTATATTTCAATAACATACGTAAGATTTGTACATTAGTAATAGTTAATAATCCAAAAAATAATATTAAATAAATATAATATCTAGTTTTATTACACTAAAAATTAAAATAAACATCATCTATACATTCTTAAAATTCAATGTATATGTCTAAATCCTAACAAAATATAACATAATATTCAAGTTCAAACTTTAATAAAATGCAATAATGTCCATTAACAATAATAAGTTTAAATGTAAAATAAATGCCAAATTATTATAATATAAATTATAAAAACTTAAAGATATAAAATACAAATTAATATTAAAAGATTAAATTACATTTTAATAACAAAAGTATTGAAAATAATTTATTTTAATTTATAATCTTTATACGTATTATTATTATTATTATTAAAAATTAAAAATACTTAAATAAAGTTTTAAATCAATTTTTTTTTTAAAAAAAATCAGTTTAAACCAGTTCAATGGGACTGGACATTAACAAAGTTTTTAATAGAAACTGTGATATATGCATGTAAAAGTTATTTAACTTATAACCCAAATCGGTGCTCATTCTATAGTGCTTCACACACCATTGACGCTCGTTGAGTAAGCACCAGATACACCGTCACTCAGTCAGTATTCACACACCCCTGGGCCGTGAGAACGACCAATTCACAAGAATTTCATCACATTTGCGAGAACTGCATTTTATCTTCAATTTTAATTCCTTTCGGTCTAGCAACAACATTCAATGTTCTTTAAACAATTTTGGTTTGTCTAATAAATGAAATAATGCATTCAATCTAAACAGAAATTTGACTCAAAATGTGCAGTCGGTAATCCAGCATTATAGAAAAATGGCTCAAATACAACGCAGGGGGCTAACCATTGTTATACCATCTATCAGTTACATCATATTCATCAAAAATACCAGTTTGCTCTTAATATAATAATGCCCTGCCTCTCTAAAAATTTGCAGTTGATTACCCTACCCTACTTTGTCCTTGTTTCATGGATATTAACACCCTACATCTAGGAGCCAAAACATCGACAAGTAACTTACAGAACATCTATTGAATTATAAATTCACGGCATAGGCTTAAATCTCCAAAGTAGTTGAACAAAATTGTCCCTAAACGTTCTGCAAGAACCGAGAAATTTATAGCACACATCCACAGCAAACCTGTAATATAAACCTAAGGTCACAAAAAGCTTCAAATTTAACTAGCACACAAACATTGAATCAAAACTAAAGGCGAGCATCAAGATTTTAAATGGAAGAAAGTGATCTTTAGGGTACTCAGTCTAGCTCTTGCACCAAGTTTGATTTGGAAAATTGGAATTGGAGCTCTTAATCATAACTACATTTCCTAATTATTTAAAACGGGAAATGCAAACCACATTTTTTACAAAATACTAAAGTTATTTTTCTCTTTAGAACTAAGCTGGTGATTAGCTTCAGCCAGGAGTCCATCAACAAAATATTCGGATCAACGAACAAGACCAGAAGGCAACAAATAGGATGGAATCTTGAGATGGTAGCACACAATTTTGATGAGAATGCCAGTAAATAAGTGTGCATCTTTTGTGGTTTGGAATTTGATGAAAAGAACCATATACAAGACCAAACAATTTTGTTCCCTTCTTTCTATTAGCTCTTGAAAAACTTAAAAGACGGGACTTGAATTGTTCAATCAATTAAACGATATAAAAACAAAGAAATAATGATATTTTCTTAAACTAAAACACAAATATACAATTGAGACTCGATTAATGCGAGTTTCTCAAAGTGGCAATTCAAAGTTTATTGATTAATCTTATTTGTATGTAGCTTCTACTAAGTCTCTGGCTCAAGATTTCCTGTGACTAATCCAACCCAAGAATACAGGCAAGCATGACTCAAAATTGGATGCATAAAGTACCATTAGGTTTACCATGTGCCAAAAAATAAAAATAAAAATTAAAAGCAGTAAAGAATAACAAAAATTCCTCTATAACTATACACATTCATCCTTTAGTAGAACATGTATTGAGACATACCTATTTAAGTATTATCAGATATAAATAATTATTAGCATTTCTGCTAATCTTAATTTTAAGATAAAAAAATTTGGTGATTTCCTAGCAAAACATGAAGACTACAGTCTAATAAGAAATAAAACCCCATTTAAAGTTCCTTACCATCTGAATACATGCCAGTCTTATGGCTCAGACCTAACAAGCTCCTCCACAGATTTTCTATAATTGGCAATCAAATCTCTGTAACATGGGAAAACAAACACATTGAATTAGCATCTAGAAACTTAACCACACAGAAATATTTAATACAATTTGGACAGACCTTCTCTGATTTAGCAACTGCTCACTTTCCTCTAGCTTCTTCTTCTGTCCCTCAACAGTCTGCATTCAGCATTCAAAAAGAAATCAACTAAGGCAAGAGTAACCCTAACTTTGAGAACAACCATATTGAGATGTATGAAAGCAGATTTCCAACATCAATAATGTGGATTTTGTTTATCATGCATGGACCACATAACAAAAAATAGTGATAGGAATTTGAGTATTATGGGCTGGCTATGAATCAAGTAGTGTGGGATGGTCAGCGAGTCAATTAAGTGGCTTGGTTCATCCCCCTTAAAAGCTAGCTGTCAACTGAAGTACCCTGTCAAGCATCCCATACTAATTGATGTGGAATTAAGGCACCCCATAATACCCAAGTCCCTATCAAATAGTAAAAACTCAGACTTGACTATCTATGCTGCTAGAGGTGTAGAGAGAACATAAAGTGCATATGATTAAAGGCAAAACAAAAGTAGAACCATTCAGTTTCAGCAGACTTTAGAAACTCAGAATTTGAAGTTCAGGTGTTCAACTAACTCAGCTGTCCTATTTAGCAATTAACATTAAAAAGGGAAAGGGTAAAGTTAGAGCACTGCAGATTACCATAGCCTTGGAGCTAATAGAGCCTGAGATTGAGTTCAAAAGCTGTTGACACTTCTCAAAATGGTTGCTCAACTCATTGATCTTCAGCCAATGAAATCAACCAGTAGAAAAAGATTAAAAACCCTAAAAGGAAAATTCAATTCCAAAAACAAAAGGGAACAAACAAAACAGCCAAAAGAGGAAAACTTCAAACCAATGCATCTGACTGTTGATCCGGATTTCCATGTTCAATAACCTCAGACAAATTCTCCACCAACTGTGCCCACAACAAACAATTCCCTTTATTGAAAAGAAAAGTAAAAGAAGAAAATGAAAGTTTTTGAAGGGGTTCTATTACGTGTAAGAGTTGGTAGTGAGAGGACAGTGACTGGTGAAGGTTCTGCTGCGGCTGCGGCTGAGGCTGCTGTTGCTGTTGTTGTTGCTGTAAAAGACGCTGCTGCTGCTGTTGATAAAGGTGCTGGTGCTGTTGAAATTGAGATTGGGGTGGTAGTGCTTGCTGAAAAGATTGCGGCTGGAGAAACTGTTGTTGTTGAATAAAGAGATTAGGGTCCTGATTGGATTGTGATTGGGATTGGATATTGGAATTGTGGGTTGGGATCATTGTCCAACTACCTCCAGGAGAATTGTAGTGATCCATCTCTCTCTATGATTATACTGCATCAGCAAATTGATTAAACCCCTTTCAGGTTGATTGAGATGTGAGAATACATGTACCAAAGAATTTAAAATACAGAAAACCTTCCACTTACTCCCACCAAATGGGAATTTTATTTGGGTATTTTAAGTTCCTAATCAGAATAATGGAAATTCCAAGAATTTATTCATTCCTTCCATATATTGAAGTGTATTCCGTGGAAAGTCAATCCAAGACTTATCCATTAAATACAATATTTGTTCATGCCAAGAGAATTAAAGTAATTATATCTATGGAATATTGTTTTATAACACACCTGATACTCAATCACATTCTAAAAAAAATTAACTTTTCTTAATACACACACATACACACACATATATATGGGTGTGTGTGTGCGCGTGCGTGTGTGTGATAGAAGCTCTATTATATGAATCAAATTAGATTATATCAACTAGGTTAATGCCTTCAATAACAAGAGAAATACTAAGTTTAGAATAAACAATTTAATGCTAAATCCAAATTAGATTATTGTTTCTCATACATTTACACTAAAAGTAACCTATATAATTCATCATCATGTGCTAAAGATTGTTTAATTTTTCAGAACCATTCATTTTCAAACAATTAATTTGATTACTAAAATAGTTTCACTAAACTTAGTCACTAAACTAGTTTAAGTAATACTTAGAAGCTCAACACAATCCAACATGGTACTTGTTGTATACAATCCTAGAAGAACTTTTCAAACAATACTTATTCTACTCAGTTCAATACAAACATAAATGTAGCAATGCTTTGAAATTAAGGAGTCTAAGGTACCTTAACAAGAAGAGATGACAAACAAGATGTGCTGACCAATTGATGTTATGAACAGAAGTATCACTCTTTGTACGCTTCCTGTCAAATCAAGGTTAATAAAACTTTAAGATCTCATAATGAATTACATGTATTGGATCTGGTATCTCTGTAGAACAAAAGAAAATAGTAAAAAAAAAAAAAAAACAATGATCTCAAAGGTAAAAATGCTAGCTAGCTTTCATTATCAAATTCTAATTAGGATATGCACTAACTTATTATGTGCATTAAATTAATGACAGTCAGCTGAAAAAGAAAAAATGTATTTAAAATACTTCTCTTATTAATCAAAACATCAATAAAAAAAGTGGAAAAAGACCTTTCATCACGACATGGGGGACAATATCTTATGATAGCATAGTCCAGTGAGAAATGCATAAAATAGTTTATTATAGAGATAAAGAGTTATATACCATAAATACATTTCAATTAACTAGATAAAGATTTATGCTTTTATAATAAGCATACAAATGGGTTCAACTAACTTGGAAGTGAAAAAGAAAGTGAGGTACTGAGGTTACCCCATTAAGAGGACACTTAAAAATAATGACATCTGTTGAAAAATAATTGCTTTAGCATAGCTGATCTAGTGAAAAATGTATAAACATGTATGTTAATTAGATAAAGAGTTAATCACCTATACACTGCTAGTGTAAAGTTTTTTTACACTGGCAACCAATTATATCTTTTAATTGTGCCATGTCACTGTAAACACATTTACTTTTAACAGTGACATGGCACAATCAAAAGATATAATTGGTTGACAGTGTAAAAAAATTTTAGACAGACAGTGTATTGATGATTAACTCTTAGATAAACATGTATGGTTCTATAATAAGTACAAAAATGGGTGGAACCAACTTGTAAGCCGAAAGTAAAGTGAGGCTATACCTTTCAACAATAGTAACTTTAATTATCTAAAAAATATGGATTATAAATGGAAAGAGACTTTAGTTTGGTGGGAGTTAAGTTAAATCTATAAGTCTCTCAATGTCATGAATATTAGGGGTGTTCAAATTGCTAAATTGAACTAAACTAGAAGAAAACTAAACTAAACTATAATAAATAGTTCATCAAACTAAATTGAACTAAAATAAATATTGACTAAACTAAACTAAACTATTATCTACTTTAGTGCACTATAGTTATAGGAGTTTGAACTAAACTATAATATCAACTAAATAAAACTATTATTAACTATAAACTAAATTGAATTACATTAAAAAAAAAATTTAAAATCAACATTTTTAAATTGAGCTACCAAATCATTGATATTAATGATGAATTAACACTACTATAATTTTTTTATTACATGCGATTTTTCCTGCGAATTTTTCATAAAAATTTGCAGGAAACGTTGTTCCTACAAATTTTTTTGTGAAATTTTATCTATAGGTAATAACTTCGTGGATAATATGTTTTTGCGAATTTTAAAATTTGTAAGAAATTTTCCAGCGAAATTTCTTGCAAAAAATATCGCAGGAAGGTTTCCTGCAAAAAAAATCGCAGGAAAGTTTCTTGCAAAAAAAAATCGCAGAAAAGTTTCTTGCAAAAAAAAATCGCAAGAAAGTTTCGTGCGAATTTTTTTACAACAAATTTCTGCAAGAATATTTTTTACGAAAAAAATTAAAGAAATCACTAATGATCACAATGAATTTATCTGAAGCCCCAACATGTGATATATAATCTTTTAAATTCTAAGATTGTAGATTATAAGCCTAACACTTAACCATACAAATCAACTTATAAGATAAGTGTTGCCCCAACTTATATATTCTTTAATTGTTTTATTTTCAATTGATGTGAGACTTGAAGTTTTTTTAAAATATTAAACTTATAAATTTAAATATTTTTTTTGATTTTTCTTGCAGATTAAAATTGATAGGAAAATCCGCAAGAAAAGTTACCTGCAAAATTTTTCTACCATTTAGTAAACATTACTTGCAAATTTATTTTTGCAAGAAAATTTGCAAGAAACAAAATAAAATTCTTACAATATTTTCTGTAAATTTTGACCATGGAAATTTTTTTCTATGATCATTAAAATTGTAGCAAAATTTACAAAAATTTCTTGTAGATTATTTTTCATAAAAATATTTATAGGAAATATCTGTAAATTATTTTTATTAAAATAATAATATTTTTTAGCATAAAAAATAAAATTATTTGGATAATAAAGAGGTAAGTTTATATATATATATATAATACATTTTTTTTAATTTTTATAATATTTATATTAAAAATATTGAGAGAGTAATAATTACGAAAGGTATATAAATTTTTATTCAATTAATAAATAAAAATAATTTTTTTAATCCTATAAATTAATTATTTATTTAGAACTATAGTGCACTAAACTACTTTTTATAATAGTTTAGTTTTTAAAACTAAAACTTAAAATATAGTTTAGTTTAGTTTTTATAAAAATTAGTTTAGTATTTTATAGTCTAGTTTAGTTTAGTTTTCCTAATAATTTAGTTTAATATAGTTCTTTGAACACCCCTAATGAATAGTGCTAAACCACCATTTTACGGGTAAGTATACTTCTATTTTCAATTCAATAATTTAGACTTGAGAGCCATGATACTTCTATTTTCCATTCAATAATTTAGACTTGAGGTCCATAAATTAATTAGATGTGTTGCTCCACATAGAACTATGAAAGCACCAAACTGAACAAGGACCCATTTATATGGAAATACTATTGATTTCTTAACAAAATAGATAAGCTACAGAGGGATTGAGAAATAATCAAATAGATGGGAATGGAATATAACAAAACAACAATAATATTATAATCATTGATAAAAGAAGAAAATAAAATAAAATAAAAGATACTTATGTACCATAAAGTCAAACTATATATACTGGTTTGTCAAGCCTCAGTGTTACCTTATCCATCAACAATCACAATTTAGATCCATAAGAGATTTATGCAGTGTTAACCCATCCATAGAGATCTCAAGTGTAGGATTGAATTATCCAACAAGAATCTCATACACAACATTGTCTCATCCATATAACAAGTTAATAATACATTTAAGAATAAGTCATTTGCAAAATCAAAAGAGAAAGAAAATAATAGAATAAAAATGAATGACTTCTTATCCTTATCGAGCACAGTTCTATCACAAAGAGGTTGATGTTAGCATTGTATTTGGCCAAGTGAAGGCAGTGGAGAAGAGTAGGATAGGGGCATCATATTGTGGACGAGGTAATTGTTGAGGAAGAAGTGGAGCGTGACAACGACAATAGTAGGGTTGTCAATCTGGCTAAAAGAGGAAAAAGAAAACAAAATAGAAATGGATGACCTCTTATCTTCATCGAACACAATCTTGGCACGGAGAGGTTGATGTTAAAGGAGGTGGAGGAGAGGAGGATATATAGGAGCATCATATTGAGGAGGAGGTAGTCATTGAGAAAGAGGTGGAGTGTGGCAGCAACTATGGCGGGACTATCACACAACATTGTCTCATCCATATAACAAGTTAATAATACATTTAAGAATAAGTCATTTGCAAAATCAAAAGAGAAAGAAAATAATAGAATAAAAATGAATGACTTCTTATCCTTATCGAGCACAGTTCTATCACAAAGAGGTTGATGTTAGCATTGTATTTGGCCAAGTGAAGGCAGTGGAGAAGAGTAGGATAGGGGCATCATATTGTGGACGAGGTAATTGTTGAGGAAGAAGTGGAGCGTGACAACGACAATAGTAGGGTTGTCAATCTGGCTAAAAGAGGAAAAAGAAAACAAAATAGAAATGGATGACCTCTTATCTTCATCGAACACAATCTTGGCACGGAGAGGTTGATGTTAAAGGAGGTGGAGGAGAGGAGGATATATAGGAGCATCATATTGAGGAGGAGGTAGTCATTGAGAAAGAGGTGGAGTGTGGCAGCAACTATGGCGGGACGATCAATCTGTTTGAGAGGTGCAGGAGAGGTTAGGTTTTCCAAAGTGGATGGTGCATTTTTGCTGACATGGCAATGCCCAAAGTTTATTTTAAAATGACATACTGTCATAATACAGCTTAACTATACTTTTATATTATAAATAGATAGATAAATAAATAGATATGTTCAATTCTCGACTAATGTACCTCCAACACTAAGTGTAAATCATCATCCAATCCAGAAACGCATGCCTTAAATATACCATACAAAATCCTTAATTATGGATAATGATCGGAAACCCTTAAAGACCTAAACCAAAGGCACAAAGGAGAAAAAATGGAAAAAGGATACAAAATACAATCAATTATCAAAAGGGATAGACAAGGCAGTTAGATCATACATTGTCCTAAATGCTTCATGAAGAATGTTGGACCTCGCCTGACATGTGCTTCGTATGAGACTTGTATGACTAGGTCATGATTTGTTCCCTTCCAACATCCTTTTGCAAATCACTTGGCTATTGTCTAGATAGAAAATTAGTGACGAGTTCCTTTCCTCATTTAACCTTACACTGGAGAAAAAGATCCGAGTAAGCATCTGAATGCATTCTTGAACGAGATGAAGTTGGTTCAATATGAAGTAAAGTAGAACAACAATATAAAGTTTAGAAGAACAATTGTATAAAGAGTGGATTGGATTCAAGAGTACTTACTAACCCTTAGATCTTCCTTAAAGAAATATGTTGTTTGCTTTGTTTATCTTTCATATTTCACCAAAAAAAAACAGTCAAACTATATAGATGAAGTGAAATGTTTCCCATCCTTATTAAACAAAGGCAGCAAAACACAATGCAAGTTAGAGGCGTAATAACAAACCATTCATGTCTTAACCTAATAGTTTAAGCTGTTGGGATGGTTGGTTCTTGACACAGTATCCAAGTCTGCACTGCCAAGTGAGTTAAACTTTGATCTTTCTTATTCATTGTGCATGTTTTAATCCCAAAGGGCTCTTGCATGTGAAGGAATTCCAGAGATGCAAACATGCCAAAGTGGATGAAAATTGAAAAATAAAACATTGCCTAAACCTATGTTTAGTAATTATCATTAATAAACTCCATTGAAACAAATCATGACTAGAGCACTAAAAAAGTGGTGAAGACAATCCTATCCCATAATGAATATAAGGGTAGAGATAATAGAACATTGTCTAATTCCTATGCTTAGTAATTATCATTAATATAAACTCCATTGAAACAAATGACAAGAGCACTAAAAGAGTGGTGAAGGCTATCCTATCCCATAATGAAAGCAACGGCAGAGATACAACCTCTAAGATATGCTCTTCCCCTACAACCAATTACACCAGAGAAATATCCTAAAAAAACAAATATGCCCCTTTTATTCCCATTGTTCCAAGGTTATTCCACAAGAACCCCAAAGCCCAATGGTACTATTATAACCTAGTAGCTTCAGTAACTTAATTGCTTACCTGAAATTTAGTTTGAATTTTTTTTCCGCTAGTTGTTTCACAAAGTCCTCGGTTTCCAAGTTTATTAAGCCAATCTGAAATGAAACAAGACAATGAACATAAAAAATGTGCATCTGGAAGGCCAATGATGAGTAATTATCAACATACACATTCATAAAGAAAAAATCCATAATAGTTTGAAAAATTGCGCACCACAAATGTATATTAGTTTCCTGTAGCTTCCTAACTTGGAACTTTTCATTTTATCACACGTATATATCAGTTAAATAAAAGATGAAATTATTTTTAACCAAGTTATTTGATAAGCATTATGCATATATTTGATAAGTGTGGTGTCAAAATTTCCGCATCTAAAAGAAATTGCAGCATAGCATAGGAGAGGAGAGGAAAACCCTAGAGAAGATGGTGAAGTTCCTGAAGCCGAACAAGGAAGAGGGAGCGCCCCAACGCACTACACGCTTAAGGCCTTCACCGTGTAGAAAAAACACACTAAAAGGTTCTCTCTGTATACTCCAAGAAAGAGGGAAGGGAAATAATCGGAGGGAATTGACTTCTTCTCCGGTGGATTTACATTCTCTGTAAACAAAAAAGTAAAACCTTTACTTGCTTATGAGTTTGGACTTGGGAGGTAGGCCCTTTGAATTTTTTTTTATCTAGATTGGGCCGCCGGGCCATTGAAAAGATTATGGGCCGAGCCTAGCGGAAAAGGAGTTCTCCTGAACCCAAACAAAAAAGAATAAAAAAATGCAGCAGCGAAGTCACACGCATAAACTTAAACCCTCTGTAAAGCCCTACTTCTTCTTCTATTGGTCGCCATTTCTAATCTCATTTCCTTTGAATTTGATTTCCTCATTGCGTTGCTGCAAACTGCAATTGCAATGTATCGATTAGCTCGTAAAGTAGCTTCTTCCTCCGCCAAGAACATCGTAAGACCAACCTTTGCTTTGCTACTAGTGGTTGAGATTTTTTTTTTTTTCTGCAATCTGAATTGTCATTGCTTTGTTGTGTTATACTCATATGGTTGATTAAAAGGTTATCATGTTATCTCACTGTGTCAGTGACAGTTACATTGATTTTTTGGTGCAGGTAAATGGTGGGGTATTGTTAACCAGAAATTATGTTACCAAAGATATCAACTTTGGGGTTGGGGCTCGTGCTGGCATCCTTCAAGGTGTAACTCAGGTTGCTGATGCTGTCAAAGTTACCATGGGACCCAAGGTATACATATATTTTGCTCATTTAGTGTAACTGCTCATGATGCTGTAGCCTTATGTTGTTGTTGAATTCAATTTTGCCGACGTGTCTAACCTTTCCTTTTGGAAAATTGTTACACGTGCTTGTAAGTTACACCCGGTGGATATTTCCATTGATATAAGTGTTGTATGTTGTTCGTTCCAAATAAATCATTTTTTGATGTAACTTGTCTGGATTACAATGGTTGACAAGAGAAGTTGATGTGATGAAGAACGGTTGAGTAACTTTTTTGTTACTCTTTTGCTTTGAATTGATTGAATCAGGGTCGCAATGTGATAATTGAGAGAAGTCGTGGGAACCCAAGGATCACCAAGGACGGGGTGACTGTGGCCAAAAGTATCAAATTTAAAGACAAAGCCAAAAATGTTGGTGCGGATCTTGTGAAGCAGGTGGCCAAGGCTACCAACACTGCTGCCGGAGACGGTGATTACTTTCTTTCTAACCGAAACCCTTTTTATGTTGAAAGTATCCTATCATTGTTCATTGAGGTTTTGATTTTCTTTCATAATGTTACTTTGGCATAAGTCCTCTACAAGCATCTTTTTGGGACCAAAAAATAGGGAATTATTTCAGTCCCAGGGTAATTAATCAAGAGTAATCACTGACTAGTATATAACTTGCTTATGTGATTTCAAATTCTTATCAAACGGATGAGAATAATATATAACAAAGAAGATCATGTCCAATGGTAGACATCACGCTTTGATTAAATTTCTTAATTTAATATTTTCTAGTATTATAATTTATAAGATGTTTGGAAATATTTTGATAATCTCCTCTGAAAATTTCTACCCTATTTCATGTTGGGAGGAATATGTAGAGAGATCTCATTTATACGTGCCTTTATCTATTCCCTTTTTTTTTTTTTTTATACCCATTCATATCGTACAAGTCAATGTTTTTTTCATTGATTCCAGGTACCACTTGTGCAACTGTTTTAACTCAGGCAATACTCACAGAAGGATGCAAATCAATTGCGGCCGGAGTAAATGTTATGGATTTACGGAATGGAATAAATAAGGCAGTTGATGCTGTAATTACCGACTTGAAAAGCAGAGCATTAATGATAAGTACACCAGAAGAGATAACCCAGGTGCAGGGACTTCTCAAGAAAAATTTTCCTTTTCTGAATGAATTTTAGTTAAGAAAATTGATCTGCAGTATGTTGCTAAGTTGCTTGTTGCTTGCCTCCTATTTTTAATTTAAGGTTAGCAAACATTGAATATTTGAGGCATTGCTCATAATTGATTTGTCTGATAAGTATATATATAAGTTGTTTGATGCAAAAGCTGTACTGCTACTTATCTTCCTGATGGATAAATGAAGTGCCTTTCATTAATTGGGTTATGTTTTTGTTTATTGGCTATTAATTTCTTTTATATGACTAGTAGGTTGGAACTATATCTGCAAATGGGGAGCGTGATATTGGAGAATTGATAGCAAGGGCAATGGAGAAAGTTGGGAAGGAAGGAGTTATTACTGTTGCTGTAAGCAATTTTGTAAATTTTTGTGAACTTATTACATGACAGAATTTCAGTTCAGGGTATCTATAATTTAATACTTTCAGGATGGGAATACTTTGGATAATGAGTTGGAAGTCGTAGAAGGAATGAAGTTAACCAGAGGCTATATATCTCCATATTTTATTACTGATCAGAAGACCCGGAAATGTGTAAGCACAGACTTATTCTTTGGTCAATAGCATATATGTAATATGTCAAAGTCAAACATTTTAAACTAGGAACTAGCATGCCATCTTACAATAGAATTACCTTTGACTAACGATGTCTACTTTTGGACAGGTGTTTATTAGGATTAGTATGTATTACAAAGTCTCCTTTTTCTGCTGTGAAGTTCATCCCTTTGCTCTGTAAAAGTAGCCTTATTTATGGCATCATATGGCTTCATGCTTAGCTATAGATTCAATTTGACAGAAGTATCTTGGTTTATTTAAAAATAATGCATGTCATGTAAATAAAAATGTGTTCAATTTGGTTAAATTTTATTAGGGTTCAGATGTATGCGATATTAATAAATGCTTAGCTATAGATTCAATTTGACAGAAGTATCTTGGTTTATTTAAAAATATTGCATGTCATGTAAATAAAAATGTGTTCAATTTGGTTAAATTTTATTAGGGTTCAGATGTATGTGATATTAATAAGAGTAATTTTGATTTTATTAGGAATTGGAGAACCCACTTATTCTCATACATGACAAGAAAATTTCAGACATGAATTCACTGCTGAAAATATTGGAGCTGTCCGTAACGGTGGAGAAACTAATCCTGATTCAATATGCTCATTTTCATTTGCAATTTGAGCATTCTCATTATTTATTTTATTATTTTAATGTTATCAGAAAAAAAGGCCACTCCTAGTTGTTGCTGAAGATGTTGAGAGTGATGCATTGGCCATGCTCATACTCAACAAGCATCACGCTGGACTTAAGGTGTTCACACAGCTTTTTGCCTTAATTATAGTTGCTGCTACCTTATGCTTCAATGAACTTGATTGCTGGGTTGTTGTCTCCTTTGATTTTAAATCGGTTTCATTGTAATAGCTAATGGTCAATTTACTAATAGGCAGTGATCTTTATGCTGCCTACCACTTGGATTTTCTTTCTTGCCTTGTTCTCCTGTCTCTTATTCTTTATGTGTTGTTTCCCTTTATTTTATGTGTGGTTTTACACGAGGATAAGTGTTTAGTAGATTGATTTAGAACAAGATAATGATGAGTCCAATCCAAACAAAATAAAAACAATACACCTCATCTGTAAGTGACTGCTTAAAGGTAGTTCAAACTGTGCATTTTTTGTCTACTGTCATTATATTCTTTCTTCACATCCAAAGACCCTTAAATGTTCCAAATTCTAACCACTTTAGAATTTTCATTTAGTTGATAATATTTACTTGGAAGTGAGAAAAATATGCTTCAAAACCTTTTAGAATGAATTTCTTATACACACACATATGCTTAATTGACTGGACGCTTGTTAGATTTTTCAAATCCTGCATATTTACAGAAATGTTTACTTAACTTTGACATCTGTAGAGCAATCTTGGTTACCTTAAGTGAATATTCCGGTGGTAGTATTCATGTGTGTGTATCTGGCGCATGCTTGCTTTTTTTGTTTTCAAATTTGTTTAAGGCAATTATTATTTATGGATTTGTAAATGTCTTGTGTGCTTGACCATAATATGACAAGCTACTTGGAATTTTATTTTGTACACATTTGTTTTCCAGTTTCCACTTTCTTTGATTTCAACTTTCTTGTACTTTAGGTTTGTGCTGTAAAAGCTCCTGGTTTTGGGGATAGTAGAAGAGCAAATCTAGATGATCTTGCAATTCTTACTGGAGGAGAGGTGATTTTATACACACATTTATTTGTCAGATACTGCAGTTGTGTTCCCCTTAAGGGTGCACTCTTTTCTTTTCAAGATTTTAATAACAACTCGTCTATTCAAGGTCTAGCAATTGGAACTACAGCTTGTTGTATGTTATGAAAAAGATTATGATGAATTTGAAAACAGGTGAAGAGCGTGGTTTGTTTCTAGATAAAGTCCAACCAGAAATGCTTGGCACTGCAAAAAAGGTATGTGGCTTGAACCAAGTACCAACATAAGTAATATTTGGTTCTTCAAACTGTTATATATAATAATTAATTTAATGTGCAACAGGTTACAGTCACCATTGATGACACTATTATTCTACATGGTGGTGGGGATAAGAAGCTCATTGAAGAGAGATGTGAACAGGTATCTTTTTTATATATTGAATCATTGATTTATTTTTTGAAGTATTAGTTTTATACTTGTAATTTATTTATTTTTAAATATTCTAATAATTCAGCTGAGTAGTCTTTTATATACATATATATGTTTTCTAAATGATTTTAATGAACAGAATTACTAGGTTCTTAATTTAAGCCTTATTCTGAGCCTTATTCATATATCTTTTGTAGCTGAGGGCAGCTATGGACAAGAGTTCTGCCGTGTTTGATAAAGAAAAAGCACAGGAACGTCTATCAAAACTATCTGGTGGTGTAGCTGTTTTCAAAGTTTGTCACTCATCCTTAGAAATACTTGTCTGTAATGATTAATTTATATTCATTACCTTATGTGGAAGATGCAACCTAATCTTCAGGTTGGGGGGGCTAGTGAGGCCGAAGTTGGGGAAAGGAAAGATAGAGTAACAGATGCTTTAAATGCCACTAGAGCAGCTGTGGAAGAGGGAATTGTTCCAGGTAATTCATTTTTTCCATCTTTTTGATGGGATAATAAGTATATGGAGGAAGCAAGTGGATTGCACTTTATATTATTTTCTTATTCCCATAGTCCAATTCTGAGAACACTTGTTCATCTATTAAAGTTAATTTGCAATTGTTTGAACCAGGTGGTGGAGTTGCTCTCTTATATGCTAGCAAAGTCTTGGATAACCTTCAAACTCAAAATGAAGATGAGAAAAGAGGAGTACAAATTATTCAGAACGCACTCAAGGTAGTACCATTTGCTGCACCTGCTTTATTTTTCCATATAAAGGATCGTTCTCTCTTCTCTATTTTGATATTTTTACTTGGTAATTTTTCATCTTTCCTGACAATTAATGTTATTTATCATAGGCGCCTACCTTTACAATAGTTTCAAATGCTGGTTTTGATGGTGCTTTGGTCCACAGCAAATTGTTGGAACAAGATGATTGTAATTTAGGTTTTGATGCTGCTAAAGGTTTGTAATCAGTTTGCATATAAAATTACATTGAAATACATTACGATTATTATTGTCATATGTTAATATTACTTTGTTCTTTGACTTCTGTCCAAGATAATGGAATAAGATTCCTGTCGGTTGGTTGCTTGTTTTGGTTCATATTGTTACTAGCTACAACCTTTGTTACTAGTTTGCAGTTTGGACCATTTGCTGTCTTATTTATTACACTTGACATTAACAAAGAAAAATTCTGAATAATTATTACGGAATGTTTGTTTTTAAGTTATCCTTTTATGCTTAGTTGGTGCTTGAAGGATGATGGAGCTTATTCTGCTAAAACAGGTGTCTATGTTGATATGGTAAAGGCTGGAATAATAGATCCTCTTAAAGTTGTGAGAACAGCTTTGGTAGATGCTGCCAGGTAAAGTCATATCATCGCACTGCATTTTCTTTGCGTAGAGTATTGGAAAAAACTTCACTAAACCAGGTTTGTCTATAAATTTCACGTGTATGTGGAATTTTAGTGGGTTATAAACATGATGTATATCTTAAATTAAATCAAGGGTGAATACCAGCCTTGTGCATTTTCAAGACAAATTGACTTTGAGTATCACTGATATTATGTTCAGAGTAAATTACATCAACACCTGTTGAGATTTTGAGATTGCACAAGCACCTACTTTTTCTATCCCTATAATAAATAACTTTCCTTAATTGTTTGAAAACCGTAAATAGCCTTAAAACATTACATTAACACTCCTTAATTATTTGAAAAACATTATACCGTGACACCTCTTAAGGAATGTTACTGTAAATATTATAAAAGCAGGGAGTGTCAGTGTAATTTTACAAACTTCTAAGAATGTCGGTGTAATTTAGTCTCATGTTTAACTATTTTGTTCTCATGCAGTGTGTCATTGCTACTGACGACAACCGAGGCAGCTGTGGTGGAAAATCCGAATGACAAAAATAAACCTCCCAGTCGGGTGCCAGATATGGATGATTTGGACCTCTAACCTGCTTCACCAAATGATCAAAACAATTGTGTACCAATATCAGATTTTGCTCTTTCCTTTTAAGGATGTCGCTGAGGTATAAACTTGGGGGGCAAAATCTTTGTATTTTGCGGAGTGAGGTTAAAATTATGCCATCTTCTATTTATAATGTTTTAGCAAAAATGATGTCTCACTCTCGTTATTCTTATCAATAGGATGAGATGAAAACTTGTTTCATTCTATAGGTGTCATTCTTACAATTTATGTAACCAGTGCAAATCAAATAACTATTGAAACTCGTGTTTCTGCTCCATTTTACCCTTTATTAAAATGCGATTTGCTTTACTAACCAAATTTCATTTTGGGTTCTCTTATTTTAATCATTCAATTAATATTTACTTGTTTTAACAGCTCTGATGCTATGTTCTAATTGTAGTTTTAATAATACGTAGTATTATTAAGGAATATTACTAATCATTCACCTTTAATTGCATTTAACTCCTTACATGGATCGTATTCACCTTTACATATTTTATGCTTTCTGCTGGAATATAATGGACAGTGGACACGAGGGTTTTCAGTGACTGGATGAAAGCGTTTTGAAAGAAATCTCCTCTATATAATGGGTAAACTTGTGTATGTACTAATAATTATCTAACTGATGGTGTCATAAATGTGTTGTATTTTCTTTAATAAATATTTAAATTCTATGAATAAAAAAACAAAAAACAAAAAACTGATGTTATACGAGTGAGATCACTATGTTTGAATGTGATGATACGAACAAAGAAAATATGTTAATATCTGGGGATGTGATATGTCCATCAAATAGCTGGTCCAATTACATCCATAACAAAATTATTTCATCAACCATCGAAACCATAAGAAGCGGCATCTTGCACAATATCATTGATCCATATTAATTAAAACAAAAACTTCATTAGGAGTATTGAAGTTTGAAAATTATGCAAAATTGGAAAATGGCGTGGGAAATTGGAATAATATTATGTTAATAGAGTGGGAAAATGGAATGATTACGCTAACAGAGTAATTACATAAGTACCTAATTAATTCATTCATATACTGTGGCTTATAATATTTCCTTATGCATATATCTTAATATATGATGAGCACTCAGTTTTTAGGAGTTATATAATTCATTGTATGATATCATATGTATCAAGAGGTATCTTCTATATATATTTATATAAATACTCATAAAATTGTACGTTTGGATTTGAGTCAAAAATTAAAAACAATTTTCTTTTTTAGAGTGGAGTGTTTCTCATTTCTCTATATTCCATCTTTTTAATTTATTTACTTTAGCAAATATTAAAGTACTACTCTATCCCACTCTCTGTTGGACTAAGTTTGATATAGTTGCGTGGTGTTATCTATAGGTTGTAATTCTTGTGCATGTACCCTGGCTTTAGCTGTAAACCAATACCTCGTGAGAGGCACATTATAAACCTAATCTGTTCATTCCTTTCATTGAATCAGACATCTAGGAGAGGGAATGAATAGCATTAGTTTTTTATTGATTATAAGAAGAAATTAAAAAAAAAAAAACTGTAATAAAAAGACATCCTTTGAAAGAATTCGTGTAAATAACTCTAGCCACTGTTGCAAAATTTTAACCTCAAAACGGAGAGGAAATGTCCTAATTACTGCCAACAAAATGATGTGGAAGCATGTTCTACAATCTATGCTAATTAACACCTCATCTGCAAGTACAATTTGTGAGGGTAAACGATGTTGCTGCACCTTTCAGGTCATAATCTTGAGCTTGTTGAATGAGTCAGCCTCCGCTTTTATTACTGCATCATCTATCTTAAACAAGACTGCTTCATCACTGCAAATTATTCAAATTAAAACTTAATGAGAAAAAAACTAGATCACCAAAAAAGAAAGCGCGATCATATCTGAAGATGTTACACATTAAAGAGAAACGTAAACAAGGTATGATAATCATAAACCTCACGCATAATGAGTATTTAATTATTCATTTTGTTGGAATCAATGCCTTTCCAGATCCTAGATCACACATTCCATTAATTTCTAATTAAGACAAAACTTATCACATATCCCATTAATTTCTGGTTTTTTTCCATCAAAATTAAAATTTTATCTTTATATGATATTTAATGAATTTTTTTATTTATAGATTATGCATAATTTTGCAAGATGAAATTTTAATTCTGATAGAAAAATATCACCAACAACATCTATTTAATTTAATCATTCTAATTAAGTAATTCCAATGTACAAAATGCCTTTACAAGTGCATGTTCCTTGAGGAAAATGTTACATATGCACAGTTCCTTGCTAGTTTCTATTTAACATCTAGGAAAAGAAATAGAGAGAGGAGAGAAAAGTGTATATATGTATATAATAGATGATATGTGTCGTGAAAAGAAGAGAAAAAATGTGAGATTCTAGATGCATGCATGGAAATATTGAAAGAAATAACATACCTGCGATGGACTAATTCTTCAGACTCGAATCCTAACTCACTTCTCTCATCAGAATCCAAGTCAATGACCCCGGGCTTGAGATCATACTCATCGCTAACATTACTACTTTGCCCTTGCAACGACAACGATGAAAGCGACACCGCAGTGTTCTGCACAGCCCACGTGTTAATCTGTTCCTGCAAAGGGGTGTTGGAGTTGCTGTTCTGGCTTCCATGAACATTCTCATGCACCATAACATACTGCTCCTGCAGTGGCAGACACTGATACTGATGATGCTGTGGCTGGTTATACAACCCTAACGGATCAGCGTTCAAAACCTCACCATCGCCATTGACAGCAACGTTAACGTTGCTGTTTGCAGCATAGATACCGGCGTGTTGTTGGTGCTGGGCCTGGTCCTGGGCTCGGAAGATGGCGAGCTGCTGAAGGGCGAGTTCGAGCTCGGCCCGGTAGTACTCGATCTGGGCCTGGAGGTCGAGAATGTACCTGTAGCAGCCTCCGACAGGGTCGGAGGCACGCATGTCGGATTGGTATATGATGGTGCGCATGGCTTGGTCCTTGTCGTGAGGGGTGAGGAACTTGATGATTTTGGTGATGTTGCTGACGCCAAATAGTTTGTGTGCGTTGAGGAATTGGCGTTGGCGATCGTGGGGGAAATAGGGTGCTAGAATGCAATCAGGTGCACACTTTCTACGTTGGTATTTGCATGCAGCACATGCCTGCGTTGTGCTGTTGCCATTTCTTGATGATGAGATTCTGTTCATGGCTTTTTGGGGTGGAACAAAAAGAGGGGTGTGAGATTTCGGCTGCATCTCCGGCGGGGAACGTGCTTAAGGGGGGACCTTTTCTGGTGCTTTTTCTCTTCCCTTAATTTCTCGGCTTTGTTTCCTCTCAGCAATGGGAGATGCAGAGAAATGGGAGGACCTTCGACAGATAGATATACTTCACCAACGGATCTTAACGGTTCACTGTGTTATTTTTGGACTCGCAAAACAAAACTTGTTATTATTGGCTCATGCTGGACCCTCAAATAGTGCACCATCTATTTCTTTCATCTGTTAATGTTTTTTTTAGGATTTAATTAAAACCCTAGGCAAAACTTCTAGATAATCATTTATTAAATTACTTATTACAATTCGTATAGTTATAGCGTTTGACCAACATAGAGCTGTTCATTCGGAGAAGGGATTATGTGTAATATATATCAGTGGCTGAGACTGATTATACAGGCTTAAGGAGTTACGTACGTGTACAAATTTTACAGGGATAATGGATATTTTGTTATGCTAGTTTAACTTTCTGTTGCTTCAACTTTTTTTTATGCATTGAATTTTATTTTGGATTTGGATTCGCATTTCAATGAGAACTCTCGCAAGTTAATGAAAGTAAGAGAACTTGGTATATGAAGCATGCTATATGGTAAGAAGCATAAGAAACAGTCTATATTGGAATCACAAAGCTAGAAACAGCATGACATGGTCAAACATTATAATACATGCACTAGGCAACATATCAGAAGCTCATTTGAAATGAACCAACGGGGCGGCAGATAATTACTACTAAAAAATTTTCTATTACATGGGAATTTTTATGTAAATTTTGCATAAAAATTCTTTAAAAACATATTTCTTGTGAATTTTCCTAAGAATTTTTATGTCTAGGAAACTTTTTCATGAATGATTTGTTTTTGTGAGTTTTAAAATTGACATGAAATTGTTTTGTGAAATATTTCTTATAAAAAATATTTGTAAGAAGTTTTCAATGAATTTTTTCGCAAAAATTTATTGCGAGAAAAATATAGAAGTTATGAAAAAAAGTTTCATGCGAATTCTTTTTTTTAAGAGATTTTTTAGTGAATTTAAAATTTATAAGTAATTTTTGTGTAAACTTTTTTGTTGAATTTATTGTGAATTTATATTATAATTGTAAGTGTGAAATCACCTTTTGATAATTCTTCAATTATTGTCTTTTAAATGTTTATAGATAAATCATTCTAGACATGATAATCTAGCTTGCCCCCATAGGTACCCGTCCAAACTTGCCTCGATTTGGATGGAAAAAACCCGTAATTATCAAATTCGGGTTCGAGTTTGGATTTTCTCCCGCTTGATAAAATCAGGGGCGGGGTCGGGGACGAGGATGTTAATACCCGCCCCCGCCCCCATCCCGCTTAATAATATAATTAAAAAATTATTTTTATATATATAAACCAAAATTAAAAATATTTATATGTAAAAATTTGTATTATTTTACTTTTCTTTTATTTTTTAAAATTTGTTCATATTTATTTAAAAGATAAAAAGAAAAAAAGGTAGGAGTGGGGGCGGGGGAGGGGCGGGGAAACCCAAACCTTGTCGAGGACAGAGATGAGTACCCAGATTTTATCACAGCTGATATCGGGGGTGGGGGCAAAGGCGGTTTAAATCTGCAAGGGCGGGGACAGGGAACGTAAAACTCGATCCTGCCCCGCCCCGTTGCCATGCCTAATTCATCTGAAGCATAAAAAATTTGTTTTCAAGCCTCCAACATATTATTCAAATCTCTTGAACTCTTAGAACGTGAGTTTTAAATCTAATTCAATCATACAAAATTAGCTTTGTAAGGTGGGGTTATTCCTCACTTATATACACATTAATTATCTTATCTTTAGGATGTAAGACTATATTTTTTTTCAATATTAATTAAAACATATCCTTAGAAAAAAAAAGGTATTATATTGAACTACAAAATTATATTAACTCTTAAAATATTTAATATTAAAAAAAATTATTTTTATTAAATAATTTTATTTTGAAAATTATCATTGAATTAAAATTCATTATCATTAATTTATATATTTAATTAAAATAAATGTTTCCATTACTAATATTTGAAATTAAAGTTAATTTGAATGAAATATTTATAAATAATTTAATAAATTTGCTAAATAAAATACTTTTAATTTTAAACAAAATTTTTATTTTTATTTTTCTCACGGATTAACAAAAATATGCAATTCTAAGGATGATCCAAGCAAATGAAAATGTTATAAGAGATATGATAATAAAATGATTTTTTTTTAAAAAACATTACTCATGTATTTTCATAAACTCACTAAATCAAAATATCAAAAACTAGAATAAGAGAAGACTCGCCTCAATCATGATTAGTTCATTAGTCCATATTAATTCTCTCTAATAGGACAACGATTAAGTAACTTATCGTATAAGGGAAAAAATCTCTCATTGGGCATAAAATGAATAACTCAACCCATCATTTAATATTCATCATATTAAAATAATCATAGGTTATTCAAAGTACAAGTCCAACATAATATTCATCATTTAATTAGGTATTAAAATAATTATTGGTTGTTTTTACCAAAGACACTTCGATGCCGAAGTTAGATGAGAGTCTAGGTTAAGAATGAGATTATAGTTACAAAGATACATGATGCCCTATATATAAGTGATTGTTCTTATCTCTAAGTTTAGAGATAATGTTGTGTAATTTTAGGAGATATTCTTGTTAATAAACAAAGATATATTCTTCTTGATAATGTGAACCTAATTGTGGGAGATATGATACATAGAGGTAATGTTGTATGATATCTTGGTGATATATTCTGGTGATTGTGTGGAAATATTGTCCTTATGTGCGGATGTCTCCCTACAACTGTTAAGATGATTTGTCCAGGGTTTTGTTCTATGGCATTGGGCTGGTGGACTTAGTGTGGACGAGCTTATGTCGTGCTCGACTCATATATATGATCACGAGACCAGTTTGATTTGATCGAGTTGGGTGGTACATTGACTGTAACTAGTATATTAATAAATTAAAGAATAATTCTTAATAATTAAATAATTTTAATCCATAAAAATATTAATTAAATAAATAATCCAACAATAAACTGAGGTGAATCAATGATGATGAACGAATAATGCTTAGTAGTTGGCTCCATAAGATGATTACATGTAAATTTCTATTGTGATAAATAATAAAGAAATATAATCTGTTTCCCTAGGCTTGATCTATTTATAAATTAAGTGATACATTCAATCACATCTTTGTGTCTGAACTATAACATTAAACTGCAGTTTGTACTAATAACTTTTGGTAAAATATCATCATAAATATCAAACTATTTGTACTAATAACTTTTGGTAAAATATCATCATATATATTCTTATGTTCTAGAAACGCTCCTTTTATATTTTATAAAAGTTGGTAGACATCACACCATTATTCTCAAGTTTGTCAGCAAAACATGTAGAATTGGCAAAACATGCTATTTGGTCCATCGTGGGTTGGCTCAACAAGGGCCATAAGCTATAACAAGCTGAGTCAAAAAGGTTTGGATTGAATTCGATCTTCTAAATTGATGTCCAAGTTTGACCTATGTGAGCTACATACTTTTGAACCAGCCCATTTCTTTAATCATTTTAATAACTGAATTTTTTTTATATTTATCCAAAATTCAAAGTTGACAATTATTGTGATAACTAATTTTAGTATAATAACATTTTTATTATATATATATATATATATATATATATGTGTGTGTGTGTATATGTATCTATGTGCCTATATACACGAGGAAGATCCACTTACTACAAGAGTAAGTCTTAGACTTATTTATCTCAATAACTCATGTTTTACATCGAGTTTCAACGATCTAACCATTAAATTAAAAGTTCGTAATGTATAAATCCAAGCCTAAAATTTTTCTAAAAATTGGAATTAATGAAACAATGTATTAAATAGTTTTTAATTTTTTTGAAAATTTGTAGACTTGATCTATGCATTAAGAACTTTTAATTCAAATGTTTGATCATTGAAATTTGATATAGAATATGAGGTATTGATCAGTGAAGTAAGTTTAAGTAAACTAACTCTTGAAGTAATTGGACTCGTTCTCACATATATGTGTGTATATTTATATATTCTGGCACTTGTACCACTTATTCCCACTTTTTCTTCACTTGTTCCCTCTCCTTCATCTTCTTCTTTCCTTCTCTTTTGGGTTGGCTTTGATTTGCATGTTTAAGATGCTTGCGAGTTCGAGTCATAACAAAAGTGCAAGTTGTGACAGAATATGCGCATCAACATTTTTTTCCCCTCTTTTTCACTTCTTCTTCCCTTATTTCTTTAGGTTTGGATTTTCATTTGTTGATTTGGCGGATAGAGTTGCATGTCACTTCAGATATGGTGCAACGCAACAAAGGAGCATTATAATGCCGCAAAGTTAAGTGAGAACAAATTTGATACTATGAAACATGACTTGAGCATGGTGTGCTTGGTAGATCTGTCGTGATGGAGAGCGGATATAAAAAAAGAACAAAAATAAGTTGACAACAAATGAGAAAAAAAAATCTTGTATCAAAGATAAACCATACTACGATAGAGAAAAATTTATTTGCTATTTTGTTTTATTAATTCAAATCAATGTATAGAATTTTCTTATGATTATCCATCAATTTGAATTAATGAAACAGAGTATTAAATGATTTTCAAATTTTCAAAAAATTTGCAAACTTGATCTAACCATTAAGAACTTTTAATTTAACGTTCAATTGTAATAGCCCAAAATCGCTGAGCCAGAGGCCCAATTGATTGCCCGAAATGGGCCGTTTCAAAAGTGAAACGGGCCGTTCCGGAATAAGAAAAATGCCCAAATTTGGAGAAGCAAAACGGGCCGTTCTGGTTTGGAGAGCGGGCCATTGTGGTTTGGAGAACGGGTCGTTCTGGTGGGAGAACGGGCCGTTTTGCTGGGATTGAGAATGGGTCGTTCTGTTTTTGGAACGGGCCGTTCTGTTTTTGGAACGGGCCGTTCCAGTTGAGAATTTTGCGTAGTTTCGAAAGGTCCAGAACGGCCGTTCCACTTTTGGAATGGGCCGTTCCGGTAAGTGAGCCTGAAATCCTATAAATAGCGCCCCTCACTTGTCATTTTCACACATCTCTCATTCTCTCTTCCTATTATCTTCTGTTCTCTCTTCTTTCCCTCTTCTTCTCTCTGAAGACCAAGGGGCACTTAGAGGAGGAGACCAAGAGATTCCTATTTTAGTTCAACTGCTGTTTATCCAGGTACGGGAGAAAAGGGGATTATTTGTATGCAAAGTTACATGAGGGAATTGGGTAGAAGAGGAAGCCCGTAGGATTATGAATAATTTTATAATTATTTCTATTTGAAAAATTATTGGTCTTATGTGATTATGTATGTATTTAGGACTATGAATATATGATTAATTTGTAAAAATGATACTTTGGGAGAGAGAACGAAATTATAGAAAAGTGCCTGTAAGTTAGGTTGTGAAAAATTGGATGATTTCTGTTTGAGAAATTGATAATCCCATTAGATTCTGTATGTATTGAGGATTAGAAATATATATTTAATTTGTAAGAATGATGATCCGGGAGAGAGAACGAAATTGTAGAAAAGTGCTTGTGAGCTAGGTTTTGGAACAATTTGGGGTTTTACTGTTTATGTTAGATTATATTAAATTGTTGATGCCATTGATCATTATATTAATTTATGAATGTTATTTTTATATTGCTTGATAAGAATTGATGATCTAGATGTGAATTGCTCGAAGGGTGTGTAAACCCTTATTTTGTTGGACTTATCTGTGGTGTAGGTGAGATGAAATTGTGTTTGTAATATGAAATTGAGATATGAGATGAGATGTTGTGTGGATATGATTATGATTGTGATTGTGGTTCCTCACATCAATGACCAGGGATGGCATGGCCCCTGGGTAAGTGATGTTACAGGGAGGGCATGACCTTGGCATGGTGTGGGATGAGTGAGACAATTGACACGTATCACTTATGTCAAATATGGCAGCCCTGACATAGAGTTAATTGCAAGAGATTGTGTGGATTGTGATGTGATTGTGGTTTCTTACATCAATGACTAGGGATGGCACGACCCCTAGGTAAGTGATGCTACAGGGAGGGTGTGACCCTGGCATAGTGTGGGATGAGTGAGGCAATTAACCTGTATCACTTATGTCAGTTGTGGCGTGGCCTTGGCATAGTGTTAATTGTAAGATTTGTATGGATTGTGATGAATTGATGTAATTGAGATGTGAAGATGATGAATGATTGATAAATTATGATATATAAATAAATGCTTGTGAATATTTCATTAATGAATAATGATGAGATTATGTTTTGTTTTCCTTATGTGCTTTACATATAAATGTTTTCTTTTCTCACCGTACAATTTGTGGATGTTTTAGGTGAGGAAGATCTGGCTTTGAGTGACATCTAGAATGCCAACAGTTGATTTATGGATATGTTCTGATATTGTGACACCGGGGCAGAGGATTCTTAGGACATGAATTGTATTTGTATATGGAGTTGAACCTATTATTTTGAAAACAATTTGTAAACTCTTAAATTTTACCTTCCAAGTTTTATTTCCAGTTATTTTGGATATTGAAGAAAGAACAGTTATGAAGTTTTATGTGAACCCTTTTACCAACTTTGAAAGTTTAATTTTTTTTATTTAATTACATTATTATGATGTATGTGTTGGGGTAGTAAGGGTGTCACATCAATCATTAAAATTTGAGATAAAACATGAGTTATTGAGTGAAATAAGTCTAAATAGACTTACTCTTGAAGTAAGTGGACCCCTCCTCATATATGTGTGTATATATATTATGTCACTTGTACCTAGGGATGGCAATGAGGCCACATGGGGGTAGATAATAGTAAACTCGTCCCCGCCCCGCTGGATAAAAATTAGCCCCATACCCATCTCATATACGCACGGGTATCAATGAATTTCTTGAATACCCATATATATCCATGGATATTTATAAATTTTTTAATAAATTAAAAAAATTATATTACAAATAATTTTAAGTTTATATTTAATGTCATTAAAATATTAAAAATAAAAATTCAATGTTAATTTTGAACCTGTATTTAACGTTATTTTTGTTGAAATAATGATAAAAGTGCAAGATAATCAATAACTTAAAATACATCAATCTCACAAGTAAATGAAAGTCTCATATCACAAAGCTACAATAATTTAATCTCATAATTCCAAACGAAAGTAAACAACTTAAAATACATAAATCTTATTGGTCCAATCAAAGCTAGAAAATTAATCAAATTATATGCAACATAATTATATAACATGCTTAATACATGTTGGTAACTTCATCAACCTCACTTTTGAAAGAAAATAAGATAAGAGAGTGTAGTTTTAGGATTATGTGGTACAAGAATAATTAAGATATTTAAGAAATATTATTAAACGGGTACCCGCGGGTATGGATATCATCATACTCGCCCCCACCCCGTTTATAAAGAGGTAAAAAATTATCCGTCTCCATTATCCGCGGGTACCCAATTAGTCTATCCATTTATTATCTGTAGCGAATTTTACCCACAAATACCCGCGGGTGTGGATATTTTTCACATCCCTACTCTTGTACCACCTATTTTCCCATTTTTTTCACTTGTTCCTTCTCCCTTATCTTCTTCTTTCCTTTTTTTTGGGTTGGTTTTGATTTGCATATTTAAGAGGTTTGTGAGTTTGAGCCGTGATATGGGTGTAAGTTGTGACGCGAGTGCAAGCTGTGATAGAATGTGTGCATCTACAACACTTGTTTTCCTCTTTTTTTCACTTATTCTTCCCCTTTTTCTTTAAGTTTGGATTTTCATTTGCTAGTTTTATGTAAAGAGTTGCATGCCATTTTAGATTTGGTGCAATGCAACAAAGGAGCATCACAATGCCACAAAGTTGAGCGAGCACAAATTTGACACTATGAAGCATGACTCGAGCGCAATGCGCTTGCTAGATCTGTCGCAATAGAGAGTAGATGTAGACAAAGAACAACAAGTTGACAATGAAGAAGAAAATAATCTTGTATTGAAGATACATCATACTACAATAGAGAAAAAGATAAATTTAATAGTTATTAAAGATGATGCATATCGTAGACCACCTATAAAAGTTATCAATAGTAGCAGTCATCATATGTGTGCATGTGTGTGACATGCACTAGCCAATAGCCATAGATGCACAAAATGTAAGTTTATAAGTTTTGTTTGATCCTTCACATATTAAATATGCGAAATCAACATTGTAAAATTTAAAGTCTAAGGTCCTAAACATTTGATGGTTTAGAGTGAGTTTACTTGTCATATAAAGAGAAATTATTGAGAGTTAGAGCTGTAGGCTTGTAGGTCGTAGCAATCCTTAACCATTCACAATACAATTTCAAAAAAAACTTCTACTGGTAAACGAAAAGAAAGAAAGTTATGTGTAGAACTATATGAGTATGTTAAACTTTTGAGTGTTTCACCTAATTATAACTTATTTTAAGTTTTTAGACTGCTCACTTTTAAATAAAGTATAAAATATTAATTTTTTTTATAACAAAACTAGTTTATTGAACTAGGCTAAAATGGCTTGCATTTTATTTAGGCTTGAAATTTAGATCCAAATAAGTTATTGAATAAGTTCAAACTAGTTTGACAAGTCTCACTCATTTTATCGATTCTAAAAACTCGTATTGTTATTTAAAATAATGAAGGCTAAATCCCACTTTTGGTTCTCATATTTTTGTTAATATGCAATTTTTGTTCCTTTATTTTAAAATAAAGACATTTAGCTCTTGTTTTAAAAAATACGAAATTTTGATCATACCGTTAATTTGATACTTATTTATCGTTAAATTTTGATATTGTATGATGATCCATCACTACTTAAATAACCTAATATTTAATAACGTTACATATATAAATAAAAATTAAAAAATAACATACTAAAGATCTTCATTCACTAGTGCAAAAAGACGCTTTTACGTCACTTAAATGACTTCGGAACAAGGCACCACCGACGTTATAAAAACGCGGTGGCAAAATGGTAAATAATAATGGGAAGCTAATTTACGTCGGACAAAGGGGGGTCCGACGTAAATTAGCCCATTAACGTCGTAGCTCTCACTGGCCGACGTAAATTTACGTCGGACCCCCCTTGTCCGACGTAAATTTACGTCGCGCCACCCCCACCCGACGTAAATATGCCCCTAAAATCATGCACCTTTCATTTTTCCGCGCTCCCTGTTTACGAAAACTTTGTCCGACGTAAATTTACGTCGTAAAGAACAATATTATTTCCCTTTTGTATGTCTAATTTCACAAAATAGAGAAGTCACAAAACTATGTGTAATTAATTGATAAAGAAAATTATTCAGTCCAACTAAATAGCATATACTTGATCAAGCTTTACAGTAATAAAATCTCCATTTTAAGATATAATATAACTAACCCAGCTCCAGTCATCTGAAATAAAAGTTTGTTTGATTTTTGTCTTACCCTTGCAGTGTTATAAACAGTGTGCCTGCAGTTAGGAAGAATGCTTATAGACCAAGGAGGCAAGTTGTAATGCTGATTTCCAAATGTCACTGTTGCATAAGATTGTGGGTTATAGTTTGCAAGGAATGCGGCACAAGCTCCAGACTTTGACTTGAAGACATGAGCCTTGTGTTCAGCTGCAACTTCACCTCGGTAAAGCCAAATCAATATGAAACCCTGTATTCAATTGCAGAAAAAATCACTATGGAACCCTTATTCCATTTATTTTCAGAGGTTGAAAATGATCAGGTGCAGATAGCCTCCACTGAGAGTTTCTTCATGACATTTGGACATGGATCTCCTCCAAAAATTTCAGGTGACACTGTCACTGTGCACCAGCTCTGACCAACACAATTCTGCAATAACAAAGTCATTCTTCAATAATGTATTCAGTAAAGAAGACCATAAACATGAAACTGATTGTTTGACCTGCAGAATTTAACTCTAAGTTGTCACTAAAAACATTAATAATGTTCCTTATATAAGCACCCTACCCACCCAGAAAGATAGGCTTTAAATATGTTTTTAACTCCTCAAATTTGAAGTAAATATGCTTTTGATCTCTTAAATTTAAAATATAACTTTTTTTAGTCCTTATAATTTTAAAAAAAGTTTGTTCTAGCCCCTCAACCACCAGCAACATCACTTACAATAACAAATTGAATCAATTGTGCAACATTAGCTAGATTTAATGTAATGTTTTCATTAACAAAAACATTAATAGATGAATTTTCTGTAACAAACTCACCAACGACATTTGAGTACAGGGAATAACTAAATTTGAAGAACTAAAGACAAATTTGCTGCATATTTGAGGGACTAAACATATTTAAGCTCAAAAAACATAGGACAAGTAAAATACCTTTTGGAAAGCATCATATGACTTGTGAGCATGACAACTTCCTTCACGGTAGTTTCCACAAGAGCCTACAGGAGTGCCAAAGCTAGCAAACTTGATTGATGAGATTTTTTGTCCAGGACCACATGACAAATGTGCTTTTGGTCTCACAGGACTTCTGACTTTGCCAGAAGATTGCATCTCATAACTTACAAGATTTGGCTGCCACTCATAAATATCAGCACATACACTATCTATATCCCTTCTCACCAAAAAGACCCCGTTTGGATCACCGCCCACTTCCTCAAACAGGACCAATAAATTTCCAGTTGGCTTTAGCCATGAGTGAGGAACATGATACCTGGAATTATCAACCAGTAATTAGTAATGTCAAGAATTTTAACAAACTTTGAACAAGCTAGATATTTCTCACCATCTTTGAGAAGCCTCGCCACAGTTACTTGCGCATTTCTTTTCGTTATATGTTCCTGCATAGTTACAGTAACCACAAGAACCAGATGCTTTGTAAGCAGGCCAGTAGCGGCCCAGACTTTGTCCATTTATCCACACTTGACCTTTTCCCATACTGGCCATGTCTAAAGCCAGTGGTGCAACTCCAGCTGGGGCATCAAAGGTAGTCTGTAATAGTATAAAAAGATTGTTATATTAAGTCCTTCCTTTCAACAAGTGCAGCATAAAAGGGTCTCTTTTCTTGCATTTATACCAACTTATCCATGTATGGTAACCCAGTCTTCCAGTAGTGTATTAAGAAGAATAGGAAAATTTATACAAATGTTAAAGCAGGCATAAACATGATTCTGTAACATTTAAAGGTTGTAGAGGCATCACAATACTCACTTTGTACCAGGTCAATGGCTGCCTTCTGGAAACTAAGTACCCCTGAAGCCACTCAACAGAGGAACTTCCACTAAGAGAATGAAGATTCAAGGCTTCACCTTTAAGACCAACCTAAATGAAATATGCATTCAAATGAATCTCAAGCAAGCCGAAGCAATGGTGAGAAAGAGATAGCACAGTGAATGTTTGAAAAGAACCTTGTATGACCACTTCTGCCAAGTCAAGTCCCTTTTCCCCTCATTGAGACCACTTAATGTAATTGGGCCAAGAACACCAGCATTCCATCTTTCAAAATGTGGACCAACATTCTGCATGTCAATAACAGGCAACAGATGAGTAAATATAGTCATTTTAGTATAAGTCAGACTCAGAGATCATCATTATGAAAAATCAGATTAATTTGGAAGTACAAAGGTGCATTTGATCTGACAATATCATTTAGACATGTCAGTGCCTGCATGCAGTGCACATGAGAGAGAGAAAGAGAGAACAAACCGGAAGCCCAACTGCAACGCTTAGAAGGGAGATTTTGTTAACACCAGCTCTGAGCCTCACACTTTCACTAAAGGTTAGCTTGGGGGACTCTAAGCTTCCATATACAGTTCCTGATCACAAGAAAATATTCAGTAGGTTCAATGTATGAACGATTATGCTTAAGCTATTGGACAAATACTAGCTTCCAAAGTAAAATAGTGTTCTCGATAGGATCCATGACAGAAGAAAAAAAGGAAACAAGACAAAGTAGTTAGAGTTGGTCAAATGTAGTTAAGTTACAGAATTATTTAGGCGGTTAGCTTAAACACTAGGAAAGGAGCAGAAGATCATTTTGTCTATAATTCAATGAACACTGCACAAAGCATTATTTTCCTTTCCTTTCTCTGGTTTCCTCATCTCTTTGTGAAAACTCGTTATTTATGGTATTTGACACCAAGTATTGGATAAATTAATTGATCAGGTCATGATATATAAAGAAAAGTCGTCTAATCCATTGAAATAATATAAGGATTCCCCCTTCTTCCTCTCGGATCAAACCAACAAAAATACAATTATAGAAAATGAATATCTGTAATACTCCAGAAAAAATGGTCTTTTGTAGTTGAAATAACTAGCATTACTGAAATTGTGTAAACCAGCACTATACAATACTACTCACCTGACAGCTGATTGTTGATAAAAACATGCAAAGCATGACCAGCAGACAAAACTGTAAGAACAGGATTCTTTCCATTTCTCAAAAATCCTTCATTGGGATTGATCACAACACTGGCAAGAAAAGGAACAAGATAAGAATTCAACATGGAGAAATGAAAACGAGTAGACATATCAATAAGGTTATAACCATGATTGTAGGAGAATAGAGTTAAAAGATGTATAGGTCACACTCACTCTGTGGAGTACCACAAGTAGTCAGATAAATCTCTGGTTGCATTAATCTGCTCCAACAGGCCAGTCACCGTGAAGGAACTGTCACCAGTGGTGGTTGTCTCTTCATTATACGCTTTCCAAGAGAGACCCCCATGAATAGGAACACGAGTCATCTTCATCTGTGTGCTCTGGGAACCAACCTGTAAAGAGAGATGGAATTCTCATTATTGCTGAAATCTTCTGTTAAAGAATTATTGAAGAAAAAAAAAGTGTTCTCTTCAATGTAAATAATACTTTGACCAAACAAGAGCAAGGTAAATAAGACTCCAAAGAACAATATTATTTCCCTTTTGTATGTCTAATTTCACAAAATAGAGAAGTCACAAAACTATGTGTAATTAATTGATAAAGAAAATTATTCAGTCCAACTAAATAGCATATACTTGATCAAGCTTTACAGTAATAAAATCTCCATTTTAAGATATAATATAACTAACCCAGCTCCAGTCATCTGAAATAAAAGTTTGTTTGATTTTTGTCTTACCCTTGCAGTGTTATAAACAGTGTGCCTGCAGTTAGGAAGAATGCTTATAGACCAAGGAGGCAAGTTGTAATGCTGATTTCCAAATGTCACTGTTGCATAAGATTGTGGGTTATAGTTTGCAAGGAATGCGGCACAAGCTCCAGACTTTGACTTGAAGACATGAGCCTGTACATTAGTTATGGTCTCCCGTATTAACGTCGGAGCCTTTTCCGACGTAAAAAACTTCAAATATCCGACGTAAAAAGGGTCTTTTGTACTAGTATTTGTATATGTTTTTATGAGTTATTAATATTTATTTTATTAATAAAAATCTTATTTATATATATATATATATATTTTTATTATTTATAAATGTCATGTTACTAAATATTACATTATTCAAGTACAAACAAACATTATAAATTAATTTTATAAGGAGATCAAAAATTGACAAGAAGATCAAAATTGGCCAGAAAGCCAAATGTTCGTTTTTTTTTAAGTTAGAAAAACTAAATATTTTTATTTTAAAATAAAAAATTAAAATTATAAATTAAAAAAAATAGATGGATAAAAATATAATTAGTCCCATAATAAATATTTGTTAAAATATTACGTAAAAATATTTCAGCTATATGAAGGAAATTTCATCCCGACACAAATCGGCAATAGTCAACTACGAAACACTTTTATGTCCGTAGTGAGTACTTAATTGGTGACAGATTCAAATTCCTATAAGTTGGTTTCACACTTTGAAACAATGGAATATGAACAAACACAAAACCCGATTAACCTCTCCCATAAATAAACTCAACCCTAGCAAAACCAAATTCGTCTATTAGATAACTTCTGTGTGTCAAAAACCAGAAAGTAGGAGAAATATTGAAATTGAAATTAAAAGAAAAAATTGAATAATGGGCAGCGTACGCAGCAGGGAACTAGGTAGGGTCCAAATTCGTAGGCCATGCCCATGATTATGAACGATCGATCTTAATCGTTCACAGCTACAAACAAACCGAGTGAACATAATCTCTTATCGAATGAAAATACTTAAAACTACATCCCATCGAAAATGATAGTTATTCAAAATCACAATATTAACTTAAATTTATAAATTACATAACTAATTTTTATTTTTAATTAAAATATAATGATAACAAATTTTATAATGAATAATGTAAATATATAAATTTATACCTAATAAATATTTCAAATATATATTTTTATAATTATAATAAATAATGTTTTATTATAATATACATTACAAGAAATATTAAATACAATAACATACAAAAAGTGTTACTATAGATATAATATATAGATATAAATTTATTTGATATATAATAATTCATAATTTTAGTTTTGATTTTGAATGCATATATTACGTGTCATTATAATATGTATTTACATTTTTTAATAATAAATCAATATATATTATATTTATAGTGTAAGTAAAATTAACTTTTAGTGTTAAATATCATGCCACTATAAAATGTATGTTATTATATGACAAATTTTTATAATGATAATGTTATTTTAACTATTGATAATTTAAAAAATATTCAAATTTAATTTAAAAAAAATATAGAAAAAAATTGAAAGAAATAAGAGATTTTATAAAGTAATTCTTGTCGAAGAAAACATAAAAAAAATTTTATATATTTTAACACACACATCTTTGTAAACATTTCATTCTCCTCCATCTTTCTTGCATTCATTCTCATTTAAAATCGCGAATACACTCATTCATTTCATAAGAGGTGAATCCGAAACCACAAATTCAAGTGTATCATATATTTTTTTAAAATCAAAAGAATGACCTATTATCTAGTAAAAGTTAATTGAATATTAAAATTAACTACCACAATTATCATCACCTATCATTATTATTATGTTATTATATGTAACAGTGATAATGACAATAATGATATTGGTAATTTATAATAATGACAATGATGAAGATAACATTAGTGATGATGGTGTTAACGTTTTTATTATCACCATTGTCATTATCACTATTATTATCATCATCATAATTGAGTATCATCAAATTTTGACATAATTTTAAAAAAAATATAATTTAATTAAATACACAAGACTTTTATATATTAAAAAAGTAGTCTTTATCGAATACTATAAGACTTTATTATGATAAAAAAAAATCTTTTTAAACTCCAATCGAATGCATACCCTAATTTTATTAAACGCACCCTTTATTCATTTTTTTTCTTTTTTGTTCCCCATTGAAAATTTGTTGTAAAGAAAGGAGCGTGGAAAAAATTGGCATCCCTAGTTAGAATTTCATAACCATCACAGTATGACTATGTGCATGATATCTGGTCGGCCATGACTCCAACTACTACTATGATGAAGTCAATTGTGAAGACAAAGCAATGACTAGCCCAAAAAAGAAGTATAAGACATTTATTTATATAAAAACAAAGATATATTTGAATAGGTAATTGGTAACAGCATATCCATATTTCATGGCTTCTACTTGTTCCTCTCTCTTAGTTCTTACCAAAAAGTATGATGTTTTCATAAGCTTTAGAGGAAAGGATACTCGCTGTGACTTCGCAAGCCATCTTCATGCTGCTCTCTGCAGAAACAACATGGAAACCTACATAGACTACAGAATCCAAAAAGGAGAAGAGGTTTGGGTGGAACTGCTGAAAGCCATCAAAGACTCCACTCTCTTTTTGGTTATCTTCTCAGAGAACTATGCTTCTTCTAGTTGGTGCTTGAATGAACTGGTGGAACTTATGGAATGCAAGAAACAACAAGAAGATGACGTTCATGTTATTCCTGTGTTCTACAAAATAGACCCATCTCAGGTTCGCAAACAGAGTGGGAGTTATCAAGCGGCAATCACAAACCAAAAATGGAGAAACGCTCTCTCTGCTGCAGCAAATTTATCTGGCTTCCATTCTCACGTATACAGGTGCATGTCGCCACACATGTACATATCAGAAGTGTTTTTATGAGTTTATTTATAAAAAAATTATTTTTTATTTTCGATAAAAAAAAAAACTTCTTAAAAACACTTATAACTTATATATAAATATTATGCTACTTCTGCTTTTATTGCCTTAAATATTTATATCATTTATTCACTTTAACTCCTAAATTTATAAAAAAAAAAATGTGTCATATTATTTTTTTTAAAAAAACTAAAGATTCATTAAGAAATTCAATTGAGGACAAGTTGTGTCAAATCTAGCAACAAACAATTACATAGTGTCTTATACGTCAATAAACTTTAAAAAAAGGGCATATTTCAAACACCCAATGACAGCTACCAAAAGAAAAGCGCCCAATGACATGATAAGACCTTATATGCAAAAACACGACCATGTTTTACGAATGTCTAGCATATATACATGCATCATACGACATGTAGCAAAAGCAACACGTAAAATCGTAAGTTTAATTCCAACACAAGACATAATTAACTTGTTATGGCATATGAAGACAGTCCATAGGTGGGTCAATCCAGCATTTTATGCTATCGTTACACAATGGATGCGTTAATTAGACATAGTTAATTTCTAACTTTAAAATACAAAGTTAAAAATTTCTAAATAAATACACCACTACTGAATTAATAATTACCATTAAAAAGACTTTGATCAATTATTTCTTTTTACAATATTTTTAGGATGTTTTTCAAACTTTATTTTTTATTCATTTTCAAAGATGATATAAGATACATTAAATCATACTTGGTAATCATTAGGGTAGGTTGTGTTAGATATAGAAGTAACAAAATAATAACTCTCAACTAAATAAGAAATGAAAAAATAGAAATGAACACACTATAATTTTATGTGAAAAATCCTCAATTGATAAGAGAAAAACCACAGATAAGATTGAAAAAATATTTTCACTTAGTATATTAATACATGTAGATTTTTTCTAACTCCCAATCACCTATACATAGAAAATTTAGAACATATGTCTTCATATTGTTCACTTTGTTGCCACAAAATGGAATTGAAATAATGTGCACAAGATTGTATGTTTGAACTCTGTTATAGTTATTGTAATTTTTATTGATAAAAAAAAATCATCTTTGGATACCTAACTTTTTCTTTACTTTCTTTTTTTTATTGTTAAAACATTCCAAATTTAATTAAATATTATCACTAGCTAGTATTATATTTATATTTATTGCAAGATATTAAAAATTTCTGAAAATATTAAAAAAAATGTATAGACTTTGTTTTTAATATAAAATCACGAAAATTTGAACAAATGTGCGATAATCTAATACTTGTGGGGGAAAAAAATCACAATTTGAGACGGGGAATGGGTTACAGTGTGAGAGAAATTTATTTGTAAGAAACCCTGCAAACTATATTTTTATCAAATCATGTTATTGGGCGTATGATTTTTACGTAGTATTAGAAAAAGGAGATATCATATTTCCAAATTAAATTACACGGTCATTGTAGACTATGTTAAATGTTTATCTTGCATTCTTTTACTTTAAGCATCGAGGAAATTCTAATTTTTCTCTTTGTTGTTTCTACTAGTGAAATCCAGTGCTGTACAAAAGGGAAATTGTTCTGAAGTCTGTTTTTATCTTCTCAAAACTGATTTTAATTTTCTCAAAACTGATTTGTTTTAAATTAAAAGTTTACCTTTATTTAATGAGTTAATCACCTATATACTGCCGGTGTAAAGTTTTTTTTACACTGATAATCAATTATATCTTTTAATTGTATCATGTCACTATAATTATATTTACTTTTAATATTGACATGATATAACTAAAAGATATAATTAATTGTTAGTGTAAAAAATTTTACATTGGTAGTGTATAACTGATTAACTCTTATTTAATTTCTCACTTATTATATGTTTTTTTATTTATTTGATCTTTGTATAGGAACGATTCTGATTTGATTGAAGACATTATCAAAGTTGTTTTGCAAAAATTAAATCACAAGTACACAAATGACTTTCGAGGCCTTTTCATATCTGATCAAAACTATAGAAACGTTGAATCTTTACTGAGAATTGATTCAAAGGAAGTTCGAGTAATTGGAATTTGGGGCATGGGAGGTATTGGTAAAACAACACTTGCTGCTGCCATTTTTCATAAGGTTTCTTCTCACTATGAAGGCACTTGCTTCTTAGAAAATGTGGCAGAGGAAACAAAAAGGCATGGACTACATTATGTATGCAATAAACTTCTTTCCAAGTTACTAAGGGAAGATCTTCATGTTGACACTTGTAAAGTGATACCCTCTATTGTTGCAACAAGACTCAGACGTAAAAGAGTTTTCATCGTACTAGATGATGTCGATACTTCAGATCTTCTTGAAAATTTGGTCGGAAAAGGTCGTGACTGGCTAGGAGCTGGTAGCAGAGTCATTTTGACAACCAGAGATAAGCATTTACTTACACATGAAGATGTTGACATAATTCATGAAGTCAAGGAAATGAACTTTCAAAACTCCCTTAAACTTTTCAGCTTAAATGCCTTTGGTAAAACCTGTCCTAAAAAGGAATATGAGGAGTTGTCAAAAAGAGCAACGATTTATGCCAAAGGAATCCCTTTAGCTTTGAAAGTTTTGGGATCATTTCTTCGTTCCAAAAGTGAAAATGAATGGGATAGTGCACTAAGTAAATTAAAGAAAACTCCCAATGCAGAAATTCAGGCAGTGCTGAGATTGAGCTATGATGGGTTAGATGATGATGAGAAAAACATTTTTCTAGACATAGCTTGTTTTTTTAAAGGACAAGAAAGAGATCATATAACAAAAATATTAAATGCTTGTGGTTTTTCTGCAAATATAGGAATAAGAAGCCTTTTAGACAAAGCTCTTGTTACCATTTCAGGAAATAATTTCATAGATATGCACGACTTGATGCAAGAAATGGGCAAACAAATTGTTCGTGAAGAATCTATTAAAAATCCTGGTCAACGCAGTAGATTGTGGGATCCTAAAGAAGTCTATGATGTATTGACATATAATAGAGTAAGTAAATTGTACCTTGACTTGCATTCCTAAACACTTGTCTTTGTATAAAGATGCAAATTATTACAGAAGATTTAACATTATTCTAATTTTTATTTGCCAGGGAACTAGTGCAGTTGAAGGAATATGGTTAGATATGGCTCAAATTACAAATATAAACTTAAGCTCCAGAGCATTCAAAAAGATGCCAAATCTGAGATTACTTGTTTTCCAATCACTCAAAAGAGGGTTTGAGAGAATCAATTCAGTGTACCTTCCAAAGGGCCTTGAATTCTTACCTAAAAACTTGAGATATTTTGGTTGGAATGGATATCCATTAGAATCTCTACCATCAACTTTTTGTCCCGAGAATCTTGTTGAGCTTTCCATGCAATATAGCAATGTGGAAAAGCTTTGGCATGGAGTACAGGTACACATAGTTCACATAGTGACTATGTCTTTATGTTTCAATTTTGCTTTTATTGGAAATTGAAGTCTATTTGAATAAAAATGAAATTTCTAGGAAATATACTAACTTATTTAGTGGTTTATATGTTGCTGCAGAATTTGCCAAATTTAGAGAAAATTGACCTTTGTGGCTCAAAACACCTTATGGAGTGTCCAAATTTGTCTCTTGCTCCAAATCTTAAATTTGTAAGAATAAACAAATGTGAAAGCTTGTCTTATGTTGATCCATCAATTTTGTCCCTCCCAAAGCTAGAATTTTTAAATGTAAGCGAATGCACTTCGCTTACGAGCCTTAGCAGCAACACTTGGTCACAGTCTCTTCGAGAATTGTATTTATATGATTCAGGTTTGAATGAACTGCCCCCATCAGTTTTGCTTATCAAAAATCTCGAAACCTTTTCTTTTTCAATTAACTATGGTTTCGTGGATCTTCCTAAAAACTTTGCTCGTCATATTATGCTTACTGAGTCAAGGAAACATGAATGTGACTCTTTCTTCACCTTACATAAGCTACTTTCTAGTTCGGGCTTCCAATCAATAACAACTCTAATTTTTGTGAGTTGTCATAGCTTCACTGAAATCCCAGATGAAATCTCTTTGTTATCATCATTGCAATACTTTTGCCTACATTATAGTGTCATTATAAGCTTACCTGAAAGCATGAAGTATCTGCCAAGACTCAAACTTCTTGAAGTTGATGAGTGTAACATGCTTCAACGTATACCTGCACTCCCACAATCCATTCAATGCTTTCGTGTTTGGAACTGTCAATCTCTTCAGACTATGTTAAGTTCCACGGTCGAGACATTCAATAGACACAAGTGTAGTTTTCTGCTTCCTAACTGTATAAAATTAGATGAGCATTCATATGATGCAATCTTGAAAGATGCCATTGTTGGAATTGAACTTGGAGCAAAACCAACGTCAGCAACAGTATTAGAAAATGAAGATGATGCGTCCACAGACAATGATGACAATGATAATATTTATTCTTTTTCTTTGTATGAATCAGTAAAAAATGGTAAGTTTTGCTACTATTTACCAGCTAGAAGTTGCAAAATTCGAGACTGGTTCCATGGCTACTTTACACAATATGTGGTAACTATTGAATATCCCTCGAATGTTTTGGGTTTCATTTTCTACGTGGTTGTTTCTCAAGTCCAATCATGTGACATTGGACGCTATGGAAGTGTTGGATGTGAATGCTACTTGGAAATTGGTCGAGATGAAATGATCAATATGACAAGTTTCTTTATAGATGAATGCTTCATGCTTAATTATCATCCTCCATTTGAATTTATGGCAGATCACGTGTTTTTATGGTATGATGCACAATGTTGCAAGAAGATAACAGAAGCAATTAAAGAGAGGAAAGTCATTAATGACAAGAGCACCACTCATAATCCAAAACTTACATTTAAATTCTTCGCTCAAACCGAAGATAACAAGGAAGCAGTGGTCATAAAAGAGTGTGGGTTTCGTTGGATGTATTCCTTAGAAGAAAAAGGACGTAAATCCAAGAGAAGAAGGGAAATTCATGAAGTAGAAACCAATGTTGTCCGAAATAAAGTTGATGATGAGCAAGAAGAAACACCTCGTCCAACAAAAAAGTTCAAGCAACATGTCTTTGGAACATCAAACTTGGAAGCAGAAGAAACAGAAGAACCGTTGAGGTAATCTTCCCAACAATCATTATACTGATAAAGCACTTAATTTAGTTTACATACTTCGTTGCTGTTGTATTTTGTCTTAAAAAAAAAAAAAAAAGCTAATAGTAACATTTATGTGTAAAAAGTTCGTTGGTTATGAACAGGCATTTACTTGAACTCTTGCATATTTGATTTGGTCGAGATCGATCTCACATAACAAAATAAAATTGTGGTGCCCTGGTTATAGCACTCTGTTGCAATCTGAACACATGCAAGCAATAGAAAGCAGAAGCATCAGTAGTGTGTGAATATGGTATGATCAAACGTTAAGTCCATTTTCTTGTTTGTCATTTTTAAGCTCAATTATTTTAAGAGTAAACTTTCTTTTTCAGGCATATAATTAACACAAGACTATACTCTTGTTCTTTTGCAACAGGTAACAAATCTACATACTTGCATTTCAATTCATTGTAAATGTAATCTTTATTTGCCTTTAATCACTTTAATTTTTTATTTTATTTTACCCAACATCGCCTTGACCTTGAACATCACCACATGCTCAACGAGTGCAGTGGTAGCATTTCACATTTTCACCCATCGCCAATTAGTGTATTTCTGTTCTGTTGTTGGTATATTTTCTTTTGTATAATATTTTTATTACCTTATCACCTCCTTCGTCCTTACCAAACATATTATGTGTGTTTGTCAATAACGTGTACATTGTGGAACATATTAAATTTATATTTGTTTAGAACAGCCTGATGGTAAATTGGATATTGTTAACATTCTGCTTGTAGCTCAGGCAGATTTGACTCTACCATTTCACTTTTCTATGTTTAATTGTATAATCACTGTGAGCAAGAATGTAATTAGTGATGTATGTTTATAAGGAAGAAGAATGAACTTATTGATCCCTCTAATCTAGTTGTTATGTTCCTAAATTTTGTAATTTAGGTGGACGGGGGAAAAGTTTTCTTAAGAAGTTCTTGCACCCCGGTTATCCATTGGAGTATTTATTAATCAACACTTTCACCAGATACACCATAATTCCTTTAAAATGTAAAAATGGGGGATATGAAAAATTAAGATGGTTAAACAAAACACAAAAGTCAAAACCATAAATTGAAAGGGCGGGGCAGCGTAAATTACGGGACCAAAGTCCAATTTGGTGGGCGTGGGCCACGAATAAATAACTCTGAATAATTATCAATTTCATATATCATATTATAATCTTACTGCACAATCATAATTTTCCTTGTAAGCTGTAAAAGCAATTTTAAATTTCAAAGTAGTTTGACATAGGTGGAATTTTATCTTGTGGGAAAATCAATGATTAACTTTCTATCTTTCAAATGTTTTTGTTCAACATCACAAAAATCCTTCAACCTAGAATTATTATGATTAATATACTTAACACGCTCACATATATTAAAAATAATAGTCAAATCTTATCCAGCTCAACTTGCACTAGTAGATTCAGTATTTGAGCATAACATCTAACGTGAAATAAAGGACCATCTAAAATTAACTTACCACTTGGTGATAAATTCTCTTTCAGAATTCTCAAACACAAATCATTATTAGATGCATTCTCAACAAATATTGAAAAAATATTTTCATTACCCAAGCCTTTAAACATTTTAAAATTTCATCAACTACATCAATTTCACACCTTGAGCATGAACTTTCAAAAACTCCAAACTCTTGTTTGAAGTTTCTATGTCGCATCAATTAAATGGCCAATAATAACCATATATTCAACTACTTGGTGACTTGATTTCCACACATTTGTTGTTAAACTAATTTTATTGCTCACATTTTTCAACAAAATCTTTAATTATTTTTTTCTCAGCCTTATATATTGTTAAACAATCACACCTTATTGTTTGATGACTAACCTTTTGAAACTTTAGATTTGCATATCATAACTCCCATATTTAAACCTCATCCTCAATAATGCCAAAAGGATGTTCATGAACCATAATAATAATGACAAGTATTTCTTTCATTATTATATCTAAAACCAGAGCTTATAAATGGATTACCATGATTAAAAGGCTAAAATTGAATGATAATTTGTTTCTTTTCTATAGTCATGTGTATATTCCTTTGCTAGGAATTCACATTGGGTTGCTTTAGATGGTTAGTGTTAGCCCTTATCACACCAATTGTAAGTCTATCATTTTAGTATTTGCAAACAACTTTTTTTTATGCTTTTACTAATTTCACTCACTACGGTAGACATGTCATCTTAAGAAAGTGAGTTAAGAGCTTAACTCAACCTTAAAAAATTGGCTTATAAGGTGAGAATTTCTCCTCACTTATAAACACTAGTATGGCCATCTTGGGATCTCCAACAAAATCATTTCAAACAACTAATATATTTTCTTTTTTACCTTTTCTTCTTAATCACTACAATATCACTTGATCTTTCTCACTTTGTTGTGCATTGCTTCCCACCTGACTTGGATTTGTTGGTACTGTTCATGTGCATTCTGCCCATTGTCAATTGGAAGGATAAATGCAACAACTTTGTTCTCAAAAAGGAAAGTTATTCTTTGACACTAAAAAAATAATATAATCATGACAATAAACATGAATTTAAGCCTTTAATATAAAAAGGAAATATTGAATCTTTCTTAGCTTGGAAATGTGAAACTAATAAAAAAATAGTTTAGGCAACTTATATGAATGAGAATCATCTAATTATAGAAAAATATAGAAAAAATGAAAAAAGAAAACAGATGAACAAAGCTACATGTGAGAGGAAGAAGGAAAATATATAGATATGGTGGTGAGTTGTGGACTTGTAGTTGATTGTTTTTGTATGAGTCGAATGATGACTTTCAAATATAAAGGTCGAAGATAGAAGATGATTAAAGATCAAAAAGGTAATTGTGAAGCCACAAAACGAATGAAGAATTGAACTTTGAAGTTGAAGTTAGAAGTGAAGATGGAGGCACTTAGTCATCCATGAAGATGAAGGAAGAAAGCAAATGGAGATGAGGTTGCTAGAGTTTCTATTCTTGATTTTGTACGAAAAGGGTATGTCGAACGTTCAAGTAGAGTGATAAAAAATATTGATAATTTATTTTTTATTTTACTAATTTATTTATTTATATTGTTAACAATATAATATGTATATTAATTTTTATTATATTATATAGATAAATAGGGTGACCTAACAAACTTTTTTACAAACATAAATCTAATCTTTTAAATAAATAAGATTTTTTAAAAGTCTAAATATCACTTTTTTATTAAATAAAGAAGGAAAAATTAAAAAAATTATTTAAATGGATAAAAAAAAACCTTTTTTCATCACACAAATTAAAAAGGTAACTTGCAACAACATATTTAAAAAAAGATTTCTTGATTAATAAAAAATTAAGTATATCAACCTAATTAATATCGTTAATGTAAAATAGGTTTTTAAATAGGTTAATAGATCAGGTTAGACTTTTAAAAAGGTCAAGTTAGACTTATAAAAAATTTAATTAGATAATAGATCAAACTTAATCTTTAATTTTGTAGAACAAACTTGACCTGACTTATTTTCATTTCTATTAGTGAGATACAGAAAAAAAGAGAGAAATATAGATATAATAAATGATATATTGTGATAAAAAAAAATAAAAATAAAAAAATATGAAAGAAGTTGATAGAATGTTTAAAAAACAGTGTCTAAAGATATTGCTATAGTATTTGTTAATGGTGTTTTTATTTTATTTTAAATAATTTTTATTTCTTATTTTAAAACATTTATTTTAATTTTCATGTACACATCTTGAAATTTTAAAATAACCAAATTTGAATTTGTGTATAATGGAAGATTGAGTCAAGATTTTTCATAACATGTGAAAGCAACAAAGTTTTGTGGGGATATAATTGATCCTCCTTTAATAGTAATGAGGGTAACTTTAAATAGATGATTATGATTTGATTTGTTTAAAGTCTGATTTGACAAATTATTTAGTAAAAAAGTCATTTAAATTTTTTATTTAAAAAATTAAGTTCATGCTTATAAAAAATCTATTAGATTTTATAGGTCAATTCATTTTTCTATATTTAATACACTTTTAGAGTGTGTTTGAGGGACATCATTTAAAGTGAACTAGCAGATAAGAGAGATGATTTGTAGAGAATTGAAAAAATTTAGGTTATTTGGGAGAATGATTTGTGAGAATTTGAGGATAAATAGAGATAGGTCCATAAAGAAAAAAAAATCTCCTAAAAAAAGGAGATTTGCTAAAAATTTAAGAAGAGACAAATTTTTATACATTAATTATTTTTTTGTCTTATTCTACTAAATAATGGTTGGATATATAAAAATATAATTTTAAATTACTAATTTCTCTCTATTTCTTACCTAAATTTACTTTATCAAACAACTACAAATTTTATTCTATTTTCTATCAAATTAATTCTCACATATTCTCTCTCATTCCCTTTAATCCTTCTCCCTCTCCCAAACAAAGCATTCGTATATTGTATTACTTTATCTTTTTTATTTTTAATTCTTTTAAAACTAAATTTTAGTATTAATCACTTTTTTTACCATGCAGATTAAACAAAAAACTTGTTGATCAATTTAGAATTAAATTTTGTGTCATTTGACTCCATTAATATAAAATAAGCATTTAAATGAATTTATATCATTAAACTTTTAAAAAGGTCAAGTTAAGTCTACAAATAAAATATAGGATAAATAATAAGTCAGATTTATACTTTAATTTTATAAAATAAGTCAAATCTATATATTTAAAGTTTGATCTAGCATGTTCTATTTCCATCTTTATCTCTTGTTGTCAAACTCACCTTCTATATATGATATGTTATACTATTCTATTATATATTATATTTATGAATTTATTTTGACAATTATATTATTGATATGAAGTATCTGCCAACTTCGCTAATGACTAATCTCTATTGGAGAATCTAGTTGACCATCTTTGATGAGGTCTCTCTTCTTAACTACATATTTTCCATACACAAAATTCAAACTTGAAATTTTGTTTAAAAGTGTCGATTTTAATACCATGATGAAGATTTTCGCAATCTCTCCACTTGGCAAGCGGACCAAGTTTCGATGTAGTATTTAAGTATCGTCCTCAAGGATTTGAGAATTTAGTAATTCTTACTCTAATGATTAATATAGAGATGTTGATATGATTGGAAGTGAGCTAATGTGAGGCAAAATTAAAACGGTAATGTAAAAGTTATAAGAACAATTATATGAAACAAGGATTGGACCCTAGAGCACTTGCTAACTCCTAAATTTCCTTAAAATAAATATGATTTCATCTTCATGACTTCCACGTTCATTTAGTAATTCAACAAGATCCCTCAAAATTGAATCCTAAAGTAATTAATCTAAAACATGATTCCTCTATGTTTTATGATTAACACTTTGCATTAAGAGCAATGACTTGAACAAGGTGACTAAACAAATCAAGTCTATTCCTAGAGCAAGAGATGTTTAGGTGCAAGATTCAGTTCGGGTTTTCAAAAACGTTTTCCAACCGGATTCAAAAACCAAAAATCATACAACGGGTGATCAAGCCGATATAAGCATTAAGAGAAGAATCAAACACAAGTAATGAAAATGAAATGCATATATATATTTAAGAAGAAGAAGAGTTAGTAGTTACATCTAGACCAATCCTCAAAGATTTAGCCCCTCATGGCCATTTACAAGATCAAAGGAGTGGAAGAAGAAATTACAAAGGAAGAGATGAAGAAAAGGAGTTGATCCTCGTTCCCAAGTGATCCAGCCTCCAAATCTTCGTTCCCACTCTGTTCTTTCTTCCTCCTGTGCTCCCAGCTCTTGTTTTTCTCTTTGTTTTCGTCTCCCCCCTCCTTTTCTCTCCCCCCTGCCCTTTTATAATTGCTAGAATTAAAACAGAGTAGGCAGGAAAGAGAAGAATCCGCTCAGCACCTTGAAACGGCTGAGCAGATTGGGAGTTCTTCACCATGGAGAAACCTCAAGGGCTGAGCGCCTGAGATCCGCTGAGCGCCTTAGAGGCAGAGAGCACCCCTTGTTCCTGGATGAAATCCGCTGAGCGGATGGGAATGGCTGAGCGGATTGAAGGCAGAGAGCACTCCTTCTCCTCCAAGGCCAATCCGCTGGGCGCTTTGAAGTGGCTGAGCGCCTTGAGTTTGGGAAGTTCTCTGACCTGATTCCGCTGAGCGCTTTAGAATGGCTGAGCCATTCTTCTCCAGGTTTCAAAACCTACAAAATAAGCACCAAATTGGATCAAAGGCTTCCTATTCCCTATACTAACATTAATCAAAAGCACCTCTTTGATTCTAAGCATATATAGATCAAAATAATATCAATATGTACACAAAATGTGCTAGATAAGTGTCTCAAGTGAGTATTAAATCAAACTAATTAGACACTTATCATACCACTCAGACCATGATATGTTAGTATTTTATATTCATGCTTTTATTTTTAATATCTATGTTTTAGAAAAAGTAATTATTTTAATATAAATTAAAAATATAATTTAATTATTTTAATTATTAAATAATAATTTTTTATAACAATTAAATAATACATTTAACTAAATTTTAATTTAATTTTTGAAACATTTTTCTTGATTTTTTATTTATTAATTTTATATTATTTAAATTAAAATAAAATTAATAACAATATATGGTTTAATGTATAAGTTAATTAAATTTTAAACAAAAAAAAAACTTAGTAGGTTAAATTTTCCAAACTCAACAACGATAAAGTTGGGTTTATATTATTTAAATCTTCCTTTCCTACCTAAACCGTTGTAATTTTTTATGTGTTTGAAAGGGAAAAGTCCTCTATATATGTGTATAAAGGAGGGCTCAAACGATAATAATATAAGTTTTACTAAATATTATATTACTCAATAACTTTATATTAAATATGAATTTTATAAATTTAAATGTTGAATTATAACTTTATATCACTTTATATGATTATATTAAATTTTATTAAAATTAAATAATAACTTAAAAATAATTAAAGTATTTATATTTTATTATATTTTAAAATATATATTATTTCAGTTTTATTTTATAAGAATGAAATATGAAATTATTTTGAATTAATATAAATTTTATTTTATTTTGTTTTCTTATTTCTTTCTTATAAAAAATCTTAGTAATAAACCTTTTAAAGTTGCAGCACAAGGGAAAGAAAGGAGCATTGGAAAAGGTTGAGATCTGTGGTTAGAATTTCAAAAGCATGATCCTGTCGGCCATTCCAACTAAGAGCACCTCCAGCGGGAGGTGCCTGTTCCGTATCTTAGTTGTAAGCAACGGTGCTTACAAGAAATCCTCGTTGGAGTAAATCTGTAGGCTGCGTTCGTTCTTAAATTTTTCTCTTTGTTGCTTGCAGAAGCAACGGTTCTTATCCCTGACAAATTAAAAATGAAGAGATTTGATTGGATGAGGGTCATCCACGCTGGAACGGTTTTGCAAAAAAAAAAACTGATAAAACCTCCCTCACCTGTTATTGTTCTTGGTCGACTCCCTCCGTTGGCCATGTTCTCAGAGTGCATGCATGTCTGGAAAACTCCGCCGCGCGAAACCCCCTGACCGGAACCCCTCTGCCGTGCGGAAACCCCCCACCGAACCCCCTCAGTTGTGCGCGCAACCCCTGACCGACCCCGTCAGCCGCGAGCAAAACCTCCGACTGGACCCCTTAGCCGCGCACGGAACCCCCTGACCGACCGGACCTCCCAACAGCGTGCGCGAAACCCCGACCAGACCCCTCAGCCGCGCGCAACCCCCGACCAGAAACCCCAGCCGCGCGCGCTGAAACCCCAACCGAACCCCTCAGTCGCGCGTGCGCTCCCCCGACCAGCCCCCAGTCACCAGCCACGGCCAACACCCACCAGCCACCAACCACAAGAGAAAATGAGAGACAAGAGAGAGATTGAGAGAGAAAAAAGAGAGCTGAAAAAGAAAGAGGGAACGAGAGACGTTTATTTTTTATTTTTATATCTTATTTTCTATTTTTATTTTTTACATTTTATTTTCTATTTTTATTTTTTATATTTTATAATAAAAAAATACATTTCATAAAATTTTATTAAAAAATAATTAAATCAAACACATTTTCAGTATTTTTATTTTCTAAATAGAAAACAAGAACTCAAACTAAACTAGTTTTCTAAATCTAAAAATTTAAAAATAAAAATTATTTTTAAAGATAAAAATAAAAAATATTTTCTCAAATAAAATAGTTTTTTAATTTTTTATTGTAGGATATACTAAGCTATTTCCATTTTCAGTATTTCTATTTTATAATTTTTTATTTGTTAGTTATATATATATATATATATTATTCATAATAATTAATTTTTAAAAAATTTATAATAAAGTATAATGTGAAGTGTCAAAAAGTGTAGTATGAGTTGTAAAAAAGTAAGAGTACTTATAAGAAACTTCTATTGGTGTAAAAATTGTAAAAATATAATATGAGTTGCTTAAAAGTGACGTGGCACAGTAAGACCCATTTAAAATGGTTGGGAGTTACTTATAAGCAACTCCCATCGTAGATGCTCTAACAATTGTACAAACAAATCACCATCATATCAACACCAAATTAAAGTCATATCCATTTAATTAGATAGTCGAGGAAAAGAGACACGCCCTCCTTCAAAGAGACACGCTCTCCTTCTCAATTTTTAAGTGGTTAACATGAGAATGTAAGAGATTTAGAAGAAAAAAAAAATTAAATTAAAATTTGTGTTTCTAGCAAGCATATCTTATTAACGATGTCAAACAATTTGTTTGAGTATGTTTAATTATCTCATACTCCTTCATTAGATTTAATATTTACGCATTCTGAATCTTTTCATCTTTTATATATTCTTTCTTCATGTAATTCCAAATTATTTTTGGTTGGTGATTTAAGAGTAATAGTGCTGATTAAAACACTTTTACAAGACATAGACAAATAGAAAACTGATTGATTTTTCTTTCTTAATGAATTTTCATTTAAGTTGTAATTACAATTTCTAACAATGCGAAAATATCATAACTTTCTTTCACAACTTCCTAGATCTAAAGCTTCTATATATTTCTCTTCTTTTTTTTTTTCTATATATGTCTCTTAACTCTATGTTATTTTGTATTTGTATTTTACAGAAATTTATTTTTATCAAATGAATATAATCTAATTTTACTCATGAACTATTTATATATAGAAAAAATTTGTGATACAAGAAGAAGAATCAAATATTGATATTATTTTATTCTAAAAATAAATAAACAAATCTTAAAATAATTAAAATAGATTTAATCTAAATAATTAAAATATAAATAAAAGATTTTTATCCATACTAATTTACTCTTCTAAAGATATTTAAACATATATTCTCAATACTTAAAACATATTTAAGTTTATAATTAAATTCATTAAATATAATTAAGTCATTAATTTTAAACGGCTATTATAAAATTCAAGTATCTTTTAATAATTCTCATTTACGTCAATTTGACATGAATATAATATATATATATATATATATATATAATTTTATGCTTACTTATTATTTTGAATTTGACTAAATAAATATAAAAACCTTTTATTTTTAATTTTTATTGTTCATAAAATTGGAAAATTGAAAATAGCATTGTTTGGCTTTAATAAATGTTATTTAAAACCTTATTATCGATTTTAATATTTGTTTAAGAAAATTAAAAGACGGCAATAACATTGTTTTACTTTAATAAGTGTTTTTTTTTTTAAAAAAAGAATTGCATAATTGATCGAAGGTCCAGATAGACATGAATTACAACTTGATTGTCACGGTTTGCGTACTAAACTAATTTTTTAATTTGTGGAACTTTGTCAAACTAAATTCCAACGAGATAGCAGCCACGAACAAGGTGTAGAACTATACAGAATGATAGCCAAGATGCAAATTAAAGCCAACCACAATCCAACGAAGAGAACAAACATTTGATATATAGCCATTTGTGATATAAAAGATTATAAGCTTTCATAAAAAATATTTCATTCTTAACACTTGCACACTTTTTATTTTACTTATAAGTTATTTATATCAAATATTTTATCCAACATCGTATTATTTTATTTGTCCGCCACAAAGCTGATATAAAATATTTATTAACTTTGTTAATGACTAATTTTTATAGAAAATTTGACTGATCATTTTTAGTCGAGTCTTTCCTTTCAATTACGTTTTTTTTTCATATATAACGTAATATCCCATTTTTCATAAAAGAGAATATAAATATTTTATTAATAATTTTAATATTTTTATTTTATTAATAAAAGTTGTTAATTATTTATTTATTTAATATATTTTATAATATAATATATGATATTTTATTAAAGATATTATAATATTTTATTAAGGGAAAAGGGACTTGTAACTGTGGTTAAGTGTTTTAACTAAATGATGGTTAAAAGAAGGTTAAGATTTAAAAAAATAATAATAATTTTTTGATCAAATCTTTTTACACCTCTAATTTCACATTCGCGTTTTAAAGCTTGAAGAATAGAAGTAGGAAGGAAATCACTATGTAGTCGTGCACCCATTGTCTAGAGCTTATCTAGGTAAGGGGGAGTAAAAAACATCGCTCTGGATGTAAGTTTGTATGTCGGATAGTGGGATTGATCCTCAATCTTATGTGTGTTGTATGTTCATGTATGAAAGACTTTTCCCAATTGTATTTGTTTTACTTCTTGTTCGTCTTGTACGTGATTAATGACATGAATTGTTAGAATGTATGATTAATTTTATATTTTGGATGGTAGTTGTATGATTTGAGGTCCTTATGGGTTCTCATGAAAAACCCTAAGGGAAATTGATGTGATTTTGAGTAAGGTTATTGATTGTATATGTAAATTGAGTGATATTGAATGTTAATTGTTTGCTATAGAACATATTTACTAATTGAATTGTATGTTTGGGTGATTTGAAATGTGACCCACAAAAATTTTGTTTCTGTTACATGTTGTTTCTCATACATCGTTGGGCGCCACTTGGAGCACACTGGACATTGTTGAGGCCAAGAGTAAGGTTTTCTCTTGGGGTCTCTCACACCGAGTATTGTATGATATTTGTTTGGCGTAGAAGCTCCAAGGGTTCTCTGTGGCACTTTCGTCGAGAGTGAATTGACTCTCGTCGGACATGAACACTCTAAAGAGTTCTCGATGTTGTTTTCACTAGGCATGGACTCGGTCACGTCAGGAGAGGTTCAGACAGAGACTAATGTAGTCCTCTAGAGGACTCATGTTGGGTGCGGGATGTGTGTCGTAGGCACCATCCTGCCTACGAATCTCCTATTGTGCTTCTGTTGAATTCTATGTTGCGATCGTATATTATGATGTTAATGTGATATGAATTAATATCAATTTATGAATATATGAATATGAATGAAGGTAATGTGATATGAGAAGAATGTTAAATGTGAGATCATAGAATCATATGATTGTAATGCATAGAGTTTGTTTGACATGCATCATATGCATAAAATGCTTTTAAAGGACACGATATGAGATACACTACCAAGAAAGGTCCCTTATGTAAAAGAATCATATGAATGTAATGCATAGAGTTTGTTGACATGCACCATATGCATGAAATGCTTTTAAAGGGTACGATATGGAATACACTTTTAAGAAAGGTCCCTTATGTAAAAGTTTGGGAACCAACTTTGGGAATAACTCAATTTGGAAGTCTCAGTCTTGCCTTCGTGAGCATAGAATGTATCTCCTTACGCGACTTAGTTATCCAGACCAAACCTAGGTAGTATGTCCTTCTAGTGAGAGTGCGTAGAGGGTGTGACCTAGTATGTACACATAGACTACTCCAGTGTATTGCTAGTGGCAATGCACAAGTGTGATATGTGAAATTTTTACTAGCGTTACATGCATGATAACATGTAGTATGTATTCATTGCATATGCACCATGATCTTATATGTTATTATTGTTGTTGTTATGTTATAAATGAATTAGATATGATGATAATGTGTAATGTGTATGCTATTTCTTACCGTATATGTTATTTGTGTTTGGTGATGAGGCTTAATCCTCAACGTTAGGTTCTATTGGTTCATGTTATTTTAAATTGAGTAGTTATTTTTATTTCCTTTGTAATTTATTACTTTTGCAAGTTAATTTATAGTACTCTTTTTACCTTTATGAATTTTGAGCCCTTTTAATTATATGAGGTATTTCAATTGATTTTATTTGTATGTTATAACATACGAGATAGAAGGTGTTACACAAGACTTGAACTCGAAACCTTACTTAAAGAAATTAAGTTCAATGTCACTTAGACCAACGACTTGTTGATATAAATTAAATAATCTTTAAAATAATCAAATTTTTTATGAATTATATATATATATATATATATATATATATATATATATAATAAAATTGATAATGATATTTTTATTTTTTAATTTAAAATTCATAATGTTATTATCGACTACTAGAATTAAAAATAAAAATTGAGGACGACATCGTCAACTTTCTTGAACTAAAAAATGTATACAGATCAAACAGGTTATTATCAATTTTATAATATAAAAAATTAGTTAGAACATATTCAATAATAGAATTCAATTATGGATCCTTAAACTATTTGTTTTTTTAGATGTCTCAATCTAGCTCACTTGGGTCACAGCAAACTTTATCTATTTTTACTTTAATCTTTAATTGAAGAATCTAACTTGAGTTTCTAATTCACTTTATAAACTATACATATCCAATAATAATAATAATAATAATAATAATAATAATAAACAATCCAATAACTAATTTTATTTTTTTATTTTTGAATAGAATTTAAAATACTATGATGGTTCCGATGTTGGTTATACTTAATTTTGTTTGTTATTCAAAAATTTAATTTTTCATATGATATATTTTCTTAAGTAAAATAAAAATTGTTAAAAGTTTTATTTGTTAAAATTTAACAAGATTTCCAATAGATAAGATAAAATTGTAAATATTTCTTTTTTATAATACACGTTCTATGTATAATTGTTTTTTATTAAAATGATAATATATATATAAGAAGAATCCGTTTATTTTAAGAGTAAGTTTATCTAAATTTACTCCGTTTAATAAGTCATATTCTACATCAAATTTTAACAATTCAACTATTAAATTTAAAGTTCTTAATCATAAATTAATTTTACAAATTTTTAAAATATTTTAAAATTATTTAATACTCATTTTATTAATTCATTTTTTTAGAATAAACAGATATCTTCTCCCATATATATATATATATATATATATTAACAAGCAAATGGTATATTTAATAGGTCACATTCTTATATTTAATAGGTCACATTGGAATTCTATGTATAATTTTTTTTTTATTAAAATGATAATATATATATAGGAAGAATCCATTTATTTTAAGAGTAAGTTTATCTAAATTTATTCTGTTTAATAACTCATATTTTATATCAAATTTTAACAATTTAATTATTAAATTTAAATTTTTTAATATATAAATCAAGTCTGTAAATTTTTAAAATATTTAAAATTTATTTGATATTTTATTTCATTAATTCAAATTGATGGATAATCATAAAAATTTTATACGTTGATTTTAATTAATGATTCATACATTAATAATTTTAAATTTAATTTTGAATAATTCAAACTTGATATAGAATATGAATTATTGAATAGAATAAGTGATATATATATATATATAAACGGTTCTGATTTGGTATCATCCATATGAAAATGGTACGACAAAAAAGCTTAAAGCAAGCATCATTCTTATATTTAATAGGTCACATTGGAATTCTTGTCAAAAGATGCCTTATATTAACAATAATTAAAACGGGGTCCACCTTTTCCTTAGAACGTGCATAGATGGTGTACGTGTACTCACTAGTCACTACCTCCATTACATTCACATTTCACACCTAAGAAGAACAACAACCTTCGATTCTCTATCGCAAACCCACACATGACTAAGACTTGTACTTGTTCCTCAGTCTCAGCTGTTACAAAAAAATACGATGTTTTCATCAGCTTTAGAGGAGAGGACACTCGCTGTGACTTCACCAGCCATCTTTATGCTGCTCTCCGCACAAACAACATGGAAACCTACATAGACTACAGAATCCAGAAAGGAGAAGATCTTTGGGTGGAACTGCTGAAAGCCATCAAAGACTCCACTCTCTTTTTGGTTATCTTCTCAGAGAACTACGCGTCTTCAAGTTGGTGCTTGAATGAACTTGTGGAACTGATGGAATGCAAGAAACAACAACAAGAAGACGTTCATGTTATTCCTGTGTTCTATAAGATAGACCCTTCTCAGGTACGTAAACAGAGAGGGAGTTACCATGCAGCATTCGCAAAGCACAAGAAGGATAAGAAGGTGAGTAAGGAGAAGATGCAAAAGTGGAAGGACACTCTCGTTCATGCAGCCAATTTATCAGGCTTCCATTCTCACAAATACAGGTCTCATATATATTACCATATATCCTTCTGCTTTTAATTATTATATAAATTATAATGTTTAAGCCTTTAAGGATTATTAATTTTCCCATGCTAGACGTTGTTCATTATCACTAAGCAAATACTGCAAAATAAACTTTGGAATCAAATTTCTACAAATAAATCTGTATATTATAAGTTGATCTTGCATTCTTTTACTTTAAGCATGGAGGAAATTCTATTTGTTTAATTTGCCTGTTTGTATGAAAGGGTAATTGTCCTTCAATTCAACTTTTATCTTCTAAAAATTATATATTTTTATTGAAACTTTACTTTTCTTTTGTTTATTTTTGTATAGGACTGAATCTGACTTGATTGAACACATTATCAAAGTTATTTCCGAAAAACTAAATCACAAGCCCACAACTGATTTTAGAGGTCGTTTCATATCTGATGAAAACTACACAAACATTAAATCTTTATTGAAAATTAATTCGGAGGAAGTTATAGTCATTGGAATTTGGGGCATGGGAGGTATCGGTAAAACAACACTTGCTACTGCTGTTTTCCAAAAGGTTTCTTGTCAGTATGAAGGCACTTGCTTCTTAAAAAGTGTGGCAGAGGAGTCCAAAAGGCATGGACCAAATTACATATGCAACAAAGTTTTTTCTAAGTTGTTACAGGAAGATATCTGTATTGACACTCCTACACTGATACCCTCTATTGTTAAAAAAAGGCTCAGAAGAAAGAAAGTTTTCATTGTACTAGATGATGTCAATTCTTCAGAACTTGTTGAAAATTTAATTGGAGTGGATCGTGACTGGCTAGGAGCTGGTAGCAGAGTCATTGTGACAACCAGAGATAAACACGTGCTTATAAGTGGAGATGTTGACAAAATTCATCAAGTCAAGGAAATGAACTTTCAAAACTCCCTTGAACTTTTCAGCTCATATGCCTTTCGCAAAACCCATCCTACGAAGGAATATATGGAGTTATCAATAAGAGCAATAGAGTATGCCAAAGGAATCCCGTTAGCTTTGAAAGTTTTGGGATCATACCTTCGTTCCAAAAGTGAAAATGAATGGGATAGTGCACTAAATAAATTGAAGAAAATTCCTAATGTGGAAATTGAGGAAGTGTTGAGATTGAGTTATGATGGATTAGATGATGATGAGAAAAATATTTTCCTTGACATAGCTTGTTTCTTCAAAGGACAAAAAAGAGACCATATAACAAAATTATTAAATGCTTGTGATTTTTCTGCAGATATAGGGATAAGGCGTCTTTTAGACAAAGCTCTTATTGTTACTACTCCATACAATAATTGCATAGATATGCAAGATATGATACAAGAAATGGGTAGAAGAATTGTTCGTGAAAAATCTATTCAAAGTCATGGGCAATGTAGTAGATTGTGGGATCCTAAGGAAGTCTATAATGTATTGACAAATAATAGAGTAAGTGAATATGATATGCATTTTCTCTTTATAAAAAATGCAAATTATTACTATATAAATGAATATAATTATATTTTTTTATTTGTCAGGGAAATCATGAAATTGAAGGAATATGGTTAGATATGACTCAAATTACAAATATAAATTTAAGCTCTGGAGTATTCAAAGAGATGCCAAACCTGAGATTACTTGTTTTTCGATCCCTCAATGGAGATTCAAAGAGAATCAATTCAATATACCTTCCAAAGGGTCTTGAATTCTTACCTAATAACTTAAGATATTTAGTGTGGAACAGGTACCCTTTAGAATCTCTACCATCAACTTTTTGCCCTGACAATCTTTTTGAGATTTCCATGCGACATAGCAATGTGGAAAGACTTTGGCATGGAGTACAGGTACGCGTAGTTCATGTATTAATTATGTATTTATGTTTCAATTTTTCTTTTGATAGAAATTGAAGCGTATCTCAATAAATAAATAAAAATGAAATTTCCATAAAAAATGTACTAACAAATATTTGGGCTTTTATATGTTGCAGAATTTTCCAAATTTAGAGATAATTAACCTTTCTGGCTCCAAACACCTTGTGGAGTGTCCAAATCTGTCTCGTGCCCCAAAACTTAGTCATGTACGAATGAGTAGATGTGAAAGCTTAACTTATGTTGATCCATCAATTTTGTCCCTCCCAAAGCTTGAAATTTTGAATTTAACCGAGTGCACATCACTTAAGACACTTGGCAGCAACATTTGTTCACAATTTCTTCGAGGATTGTTTTTAGGACTATCAGGTTTGAGTGAATTTCCCCCATCAATTTTGCTTATAAAAAATCTCAAAGCCTTTTCTTTCACAATTAGTTATGGTCTTGTGGATCTTCCTGAAAACTTTTCTCAACAAATTGTGCTTTATGAGTCAAGGAAACACAAAGGTGACACTTTCTTGATCTTACAAAAGGCATTTCTTTGCCCTGGCTTTCAGTCACTAACAGGTATAGTATTTGAGGATTGTCTAAGCTTGTGTGCAACTGCAATCCCAAACAACATCTCCATGTTATCATCATTGCAATACTTAACCTTTTATTGTTGCGCCATCACAAGCTTACCTGAGAGCATCAAGCATCTGACAAGACTCAAAGTTGTTGAAGTTTGTGAATGCAAAATGCTTCAATGTATACCTGCACTTCCACAATCCATTCAACACTTACACATTTGGAGGTGCCAATCTCTTCAGAGAGTGTTATGTTCCACAATTGAACCATTTAAAACACCTGAACGTATTTTTCTGCTTCCTAACTGCTTAACATTGGATGATCATTCATATGATGCAATTTTGAATGATGCCATTGTTATGATTAAACTTGCAACAGAAACAACATCGGCAGTTGTATCAGAAAATAAAGAAGATACATCCATGAATAATTATTTATGTGAATCAACAAAGATTTGTTATTCTTTACCAGCTAGAAGTGGAAAATTTCTAGATTGGTTTCATCACCACTCTACACAGGTTTTGGTCCCTATTGAACAACTTCCACCTGATTTTTTGGGTTTCATTTTCTATTTGGTTGTTTCTCCAATCCAATCACGCCACATTGGATGTTGTGGAAGTATTGGATGTGAATGCTACTTGGAAACTAGTTGGGATGAAAGGATCAATATAACAAGTTTCTTTTTAAATGAAACTGTTATGCTTTCTCATCCACCTCCATTTAAATTTATGACAGATCACATATTTTTATGGTATGATGCACGACTTTGCAAGAAAATAGTGGAAGTAATTAAAGAGAGGAAAGCTATTAATAGTGGTGATCCAAAGCTTACATTTAAATTTTTTGTTCAATCCCAACATAATGAGGAAGCAATGATCATAAAAGATAGTTGGGTTCGTTGGATTGATTCCTCAGAAGAAATTGGGGACGTAAATATAAAAGAAATAGGGAAATTCATGAAGTAAAGGGCAATGAGTCCAATGATCAAGAAGAAATATTTCCTCCAACAAAAAATTCCAAGTATCGTATCTTCGAAACTTCAAACTTGGAAGCAGAAGAAACAAAAGTGTTGAGGTAATCTTCCTAACAATTATTACACTAATAGGATACTTAATTTAACTTTATTGTTGTTGTTGCATATTTTGTTACATTAAATTAAGAATAACATTTTTGTGTAAAAATGTTGTTGTTTATGAACAGGTGTCAACATGAAGAACCCTTGCATATTCAATCTAAAGACGTGCAACCAATAAGAAATAGTGGCATAAATTGGGTATGGATATCATAGCTAGTATGATCAAGCATTAAGTTATTCTAATTGTCCTGGGTCAATTTTAGGTTCAATTATTTAAGTATGAACTATATTTATCAAGGATAACATAAGTAATTCATCAGGCATGATCAAAACAAAACTCAACCAATCCTAAATAATATTTTGTAGCAATTTTATCAAAATTAGATCGATCATCGACTTAGTCATAATGTTAGGTTAGTGGGTCAATGATTTAACTAATGAATCACTAGTTGATCTGGATGAACCTATATAAATGAGAATTATGTCCATTTGGTGACTATTGGCAGAGTATATAAGTTGGGGGTCAACCATACACCACAAGACCATACAAGATGGTATGGTATGGGTGGAGGTTAAGTAGGTTCGAGATGCAAATGTTTGAGTTTTTGTGCCCACAATAAGGTTGAATGGGATAGGCTGTCAATTATTTCATTTCATGCACTAGTGCAAAATAAGGATACTACGTCACCTCTTTTATGTCAGATATTCAAAAACACGACATAAAAAATAAGTGGTGACATTTTTGTAAATAAAAGTGGAATATTTTACGTTGGACTAGGTGTGGTCCGACGTAAAATATACAATCTACTTCGGCCACAATACAAGTCCGACGTAGATTGTATAATTTACGTCAGACCACACCTAGTCCGACGTAAAATATTATTTATATGATGCCCTTTCGTTCTCTTCTCGCGCGCGCCTCAGTTTACTTGTTTTCTCATCTAAGTTTACTTGTTTTCTCTTCTAAGCTGTTTTGCATTGGGTCTGCACGTTTGAGGTTAGTTTCAACTTAGTTCTCTTCTTTGCATTATTTTGTGTTAGTTGTTCATCTGGAACGGCCCGTTCTGCGACCAGAACGGGTCGTTCTACTTGAATTTATTGTTTGTTAATTGTTCATCTGGAACGGGCCATTCCGAAACCAGAACGGGTCGTTCCAGATTAACGATTAATACAAAAATAATGCAGTTGGAACGAGCCGTTCTGCTTTCAGAACGGGTCGTTCCAGACACATTAAATTTGTGTTAATTGTTTATCTGGAACAGCCTGTTCTGGTTTCAGAATAGGCCGTTCCAGATGCACTAAAGAAGGAGAATTTAATTATTAAGAGGGACCAAATTAGTTGTTTTTTTATTAGTTATTTTGTTGCTATATTGTTATTATCTTTTTTACTTTATTCGTCTATTCAGTTAATTCATTGTTTTAATAATGAGAGTTTGATTTTTTCAGGATTATGGCATATTCGGGGTCTGACAATGGAAGGAGGGAAGGTAGATCTATCACCCGATTGTCTGGGTTGACAGCTGGACGCATTGCCAAGGAGAGGAAACCGGTTGAGGTGGATCCTCGTTCTGGCAAGGCGTCAACCCCAAATGCTGCAAAGTTTAGGAGCTATTTGGGAGTCCTAGCTTAACGTCATGTTTATATTATCATTCCATCATGGGATGACGTTGAGGAGGTTGACAAGAACCTCATGTGGCAGGATATTCAGGTATATACTTTTACATCCCTTCAATATTATATAACTTAAATACGTTATTTATTATTTGTTGTTTTTTTGATAGCAAAATTTTGACATTCCCAACACTGAGGTCATGAGGAGGAAGATGTTATCTGCCCTTGCTACCAGGTGGAGAGACTTCAAGACTTTCTTGACACAGGAGTATGTATTTGGAGAGCGACAAAATGAGACTCCTTGTCTAAAGTACCAGATTACTGATGAGGAGTGGATACAATTTCGTGCCACTCGATTGGACTCTTCTTGGCAAGTTAGTTATTGATAATTCTTACATTGACACAAATACTTAAGGTATATTTTAATTAATCTCATTTTCTTATTTGTATTATTGTAGGCCAAAAGAGTAGCTACCCAAGAACGACAGAGCAAGAATGATGCATCCCATCTATTGTCAAGAGGGGGATATGAATTAAAAAAAAATTGATGAAGGTTAGGATAGAGGCATCAGGGGTTGAGTCTATTGACCATGTGGATTCACCTCCCCGCTATGAGATGTGGATAGCAGCTCGAACAAAATCAAATGGGCAAATGACTTCTGAGTTTGCAAGGGTCGTTGCTGATAAAATAGTAAGTAAAAATATACAAACTAAGACTCTTCATTTTAACTCATTCAATTCATAAGTGTAGTTTAGGGTATACTTATTGTTAATATGTTGCAGGAGGGTTTAGTTGAGCAGACCACCCATGGCTCATTTTTTCCCCATGGTCGGGATGATATACTCACAACGGCCATAGGAAGGCCAGAGCACGCAGGGCGTGTGCGTGGTATTGGTGGTTCTTGGAGTCACCGAGATTACTTTGATGCACCACCATCGAGGAGCAATACTGTTGACTCTTGCAGTTTGAAGAGAAATTGAAGAACATTCGAGAAGAGTTTGAACAGAATTTTGAGTTTTTGGATCGTTCTCAGCAACAGACTACAGTTGCTCATGATGGTGTTCGAGTCAGCACTAAAGGGAGTTGTGCTGCTCTAGATCCCTCAGGGGAACAGACTCACACTGATGTACCAAACCAGTGTGAGTTATATGTTGAGGATGAACCCCCACGGTTAGTGGCTATTGGTTGAGTATTTGAGGGTGGCTCAACCATCCATGGTGTCCCTCTAGAGCCAGACTGGACACGGGTTGTGGTTGACCAAGTTCAAGATGCTGCTGCTCCAGTGCCTTTGCCCAATACAGAAGTTCAACTAGTGGGGCAGGCAACCGACACATTCTTAGCTTAACCAAAACGTTTGGTGATGCCGCTTTCATCACGGGCAAAGGTAATTCTATTATTACTCTTTTATATTCTTATAATTTTATTATTGTTAAACTAATTTTGATTCTTTCTTTAGGATTTTATCAATCGTGGTAAGGAGGTCATGAGAGAACCTGTTGTTGATGATGTTGATATCGCAGAAGCTGAGGATCATCCCATATATAGGCTTCTAACCATATTACCACGATTGAAGAAGAAACCAATTCAATTGCAGTGGGACATTAGAGTTTTTGGAGTTGATAGTTCTAATGTTCCATTATACATATCCCTGCCCGACACATTAGAGATTGTTGGGGGAAACTCCATGTTAAATATATCTATCATACAACTGTGGGCCATGTAAGTGATATTTTCTTTTATGAGTCTAAAATTACAATAATTACATTTAACTTATAATAATTAATTGTGTTAGGTACATAGATAAATTGAGTGTGGAGCAAGCACAAGCACAAATATATGGATTTATTGAGCCTCAATCCATCCAAAAATCAGGAAACACTCAGGTCCAGATCCAACAATATATGCAAACATGGATGAGTGAATCAAGAAGAGATATATACATGGCTCCATACATTGACGGGTTAGTTTTTTAATTGTTTTTTTAATCATGGTAATTTTATAACTAATTTGTTTGTCATACAATGTAGGTCCCATTGGCAGTTAATGATAATCATTCCTAAGGAATACACCGTAGTGTGGTTTTGTTCACTACATCGAAAACCAAGCCACGAAATTAAATTCCAATTACAAGGGTAGCTAAAATTTTTCATTATGTTTTTAAATTGTAACTATATATATTGGCTAACATATGTTTTTATTTCAATTAATTAGAATCGTGTCTGAAGCTAATATTTTAAGTGGAAGAGCTAGATCAAAGATATTGCAATTCATATACCTTAAGGTTAGCAAATTAATTAATAGAGGAAATAATATTTGAATTTATCGACTTTGGAAATAATAGTTACTTGTTTTTCATTTTAGTGTAATAAGCAACAAGACTCGTTTGAATGTGACTATTACATCATGTATTGGATAAGTGCTATAGTTTCTGCGGGTATTACTAATTCTTGGGGGCAGGTAATTCATATCAAAATTTATTTTTAAGTATATTTATATTTATGATAATTAACATTGCATATTAATGACACTTAAATTAATGTTTCAGGTCTTTCAAGATCCATCTCCATTGCCCGAAGATGAAATCATCAAGATAAGAGAACAATGGGCAACTTTTTTTCTTCAAAGTATATAATAGTTAGATTTCTAAGTTTAGTTAGTTGGATATTATGTTTCTAGTTTGATAACATTGACAAACATATGTTTTATAGCTTTTTTAGGATAATAGGATTTACATTGTCTTAATTTATGCTTTTTAAGATTTATATATTATTTTCTTTTTGTCATTCAATTTTGAAATACAAATTATATTTGAATTTGTATTATGGACTGCCTGGGTTAGGTTTTGCATTATGGACTGTATGCAGGTTTTGGGTGTATCAAAAAATAATAAAAATTTAAAAAAAAAATGCATAAGTTTACGTCGGACACACCATGTTCGACGTAAATTTACGTCAATTATGGGGAATTTATCAAGTGAACTGACAAACAAAAAGTTTAATTGGTACGTCTCAACCAATTCATGATCATGTGACAGTAATGACTAATCTGGCAACAAAGTTAAATTTCATGGGAATGGAAGTGAAAAATGTCCTTTTTGGTGCAATTTATTTTGAACTCTCTTCCTGTTGAATTTGGCTAATTTCAAGTGAACTATAACACTCTTAAGGAAAAACTAAATTTTCAAGAAATTTAGGCCATGTTAATTCAAAAGGAAGGGAGGTTAAAGAAAATGAAAGACAAACTCAATTCATCTTATGACTTATAATGGAGCCAGTACTAGCAAAAACAAGTTGGGTAAGAAGAACAAGGGAAAATTCTAATTAAAGGTTAAAGACGAAGGGTCTGTAAGGAAAAGAAGTGCTACTTTTTAAAACAAAGTAGTCACTTCAAGAAGAACTGCCCAAAAAGAAACAAATGGCTTGAAAATAATATATTTTATATATTTGTAAATTTTGAATAAATTAAATCTTGTTGACGTACCTAATAATAATACCTGGTGGCTTGATTTTAGAGAAACTACTCATGTGTCACATATTATGTAGAGATTCCTTTCAATTCAAACAATAAGAGGAACTTAAAATATTTTCCATATGGAAAATAAAATGAAGGCAACAATAAAAGATATTGGAATGTACATATTAGTCTTTGAGATAGGGTGTCATGTAGATTTGGAAGGATGTCTCTACGTACCTGGATGTGCTAGGAATTTAGTTTATATTGTAAAGTTGGATCAATTAGGTTTTAGTTTCAAGATTAAAAATTATATATTTTCTGTGTTTAAGGATATGTACTATTATGGATCTTGTACTTTAATAGATGGTTTGTATTATTTCAATCTTGATGTAAAGTTTAAAGAATCATTGTTTAATGTTGAACATGTCAGTAACAAGCGTAATATACATGATGATAGTTCTGTTTATTTGTGGTATCAAAGATTAGGTCATATTTCTAAAGAAAGGATAATGAGGTTAATGAAAAATAAAAATTTTCCTCAATTAAATTTTAGTAACTGGGATATATGCTTAGATTGCATTAAAGGAAAACAAACTAAACAAACACTACAAAGAAAATGATGATTTGTGATGGACAAATTACGACAGTTATCCTGAAACTGTCATCGCTTTGATATTGCGACCCTTCATACAACGGTTTCTCTAAACCGTCGCAAAATTTTCCAACATTGCAACAGTTTGTGCGACAGAGTCAAATAACTACCATAAAATTTATCTATACCGAGGCAGTTTGTAGTAAATCATCGCAATCTACAAGACAAAAATTGAAATAAAAATTCACACAAAGTCATGCACACTCCAAAATTCTATAATTTTACTTTCAATAAAAAATAGAAAAATAAAATCATAATGACATGTAATTACATTTAGAAATGTTAAAAAAATACTTTAATATACTATATTAATTTTATTTCTCTATCTTTTAAATTATTTTAGAATAAAAAAGTTTTATGTTAATCCTAGGAAGCTAAAAATTTATAATATATATATATGTTACATTTTTTTATGTGTTAGTGAAATTAATAATACATCTTAATTGTAGATTAAATCGAGAATATTGAACTCATGGTGTAAGTTGAATTTTATCGATCCAATTATTAAATTAAAAATTATTAAATTTTACTAATAATTAATATAGAAAAAATTGATTAGCTTTGGAATAAATTATTTGCAAACAATATAGTTAAAAAAAATAATTATTTTAAATTATTTAACTAGAATCTTATTGATTATTTACTATATATATGATCTTGATATTTTTGTATAACTAATATCTGGTTTTAAATTTGATATAAAAATATTATGATATAACTAGATAAGATTTTAAATTAGTATTTTATTAATGGTTGATAATTAGAAAATAAAATAAGGATAAATACATTTTTTAATTTTTATATCTTAAATTTAAGATGAATAAATAAATTAAGTTAATTAATAATTTATTTAAA